TTTCTTTTCATTCTTAAAGTTACTACTAGTCTTACTTTAGTATTCCTATATATAGTACCCTAGTTTTCTATAGTTAAAATACTCTCTATTCTTACTTAGTGCTAGTTTAAGTTCTCTACTAGCTACTCTAAGTTCTATTAGTCTAGGGTATATTCCCTATAAGGTGTTACTATTAGCCCTTCTAGCCTTAGTATTAGTGTAGTATTTTTTCTAAAATAGGTTATTTCTATTTAGGCTTTAGTATTACTTCTTTTCTTATTCTCTTTTATATAACTGGTTATTAATAGACACTGCTAGCTTAATATAGTCTATAAGTGTGACTAGTAGAGGTTATACTCTAATAAGTTAGTCTTTTACTTTTTCTTTAAGTCCTTAATAGAATAGGTTGATAAGGACCTTATCTAGGTAGTTTAGATATAAGGCTACCTATCTGAATATAATAATATACTATGAGGCTACTCCTTTCTATCTAAGGTTATAGAGTTAGTTCTATATAGCCTTATCCTTATCTAGTTCTCTAAAGGCTCCTTTAATAGTATACTTAAAGTTTTCATACCTAGCGAAAACCGTTTTGGTGAATTCTAACTATCTATAGGTACTGACTTTAAGGAAGTCCCTTAGGGTTAGTTTAAACTAATCTAAAGTAGGTCTAGTAAGATACCTCACTACATATTATACCTAGTCTATACCTATCTTTAGTTATAGGTAGTATAACAGGTACTCTTTCATTTAGGTGAGGTATATATAGAGTTTTATATAGTTTCCATTAAACTTCTCAGGTTTAGGGATCTTAAGATATAATACCTCCCCTTCTATCACTGATCCTACTACTATTTTTTATAGTATAGCTTTAGTTTTTATAAGGTAGCTATATAAGTTGTTGATAACTTACTACTAGCCTTATATATTATCTTATACCTTTCTAAGGGTATCGTTAACCTAATCCTTAGGTGTATACTTGGTTTCGTTGTCTAAGTCTACCTCTATCCCTTTATTATCTTCTTTAATAGGGGTAGGGGTAGAGGAACTCTTCTCTAGTTCCTTCCCCTTGCCTTTAGCGCTCCCCTTAGTGCTTCCTATGACAGAGGATATAGTTCTTAGTTAGTACTATCTAAAAGGGTCACTTATTAAATAGGAGTAGTTAACATATGATATTCTAACACTAGGATATGCTACTTAGGGTTAGGTTATATTAAGGTTAGAATAGTTAGGCCTGTTAGTAGCTTAGTGAGGTAATTAAATAGTATAATAATATCGTTTATCTATAATGCGTATTCAAGTATAGGGGTTAAGTGTACTTGAATTGACTACTAGAAAGGATATAGAACTTCCTTTCCTCTAAGGTCTACTTGGTTCCTTATATAGTTGGTGACTTGTCCAGGACCACAGTTTCCCTGGTTGCGGTCCTTAGGTAGACCGCAACTTCCGTGGTGCGGTCCTTGTAGGACCACGCCGTCTTCTTCATGCAGTCCTTTCCTTACTGGCTGGTTACTGTCTGAGGTTCTTCCTTTACTGCCGGTTTTCACCGCCTCCCGGGCCTACTTCCAGGCCGCTCGTGACAGAAAGGGGGATAGAAGGGAAGTTAGACTAACTATAAGGAAAACTATAGAGTAGGAGTACCCTATATTTAATAGGAGTAAGGGGGTAGAGAATAAAAATCTTTAGGGATAAAGAATAAAGGAGGGGAGGTATTATATTATAACCTAGCTACTTAAAGAAGTAGCCTAGGGTAGGTAGTGAAGACCTATAGAAATAATAGGCTAGAGGAACTATAGGTAAAGGGATTACCCTGATTACTTAGTGATCTAGATAACCTAGGTTACTATAGTTATAGTAATTAGAGCTACCTAATTACCTAGATTATAACTAAATACTATAATCTACTACCTATATAAGGAAGTAAGTAGACTTTAGAGGGAAGGAGGTCTTATATCCTTCCTAGTAGTTAATTTAAGTATACTTAACCCTTATATTTAAATATATATTATAGATAATAATATTATTATACTATTTAATTACCTTACTAAGCTACTAATAGGCCCTAACTATTCTAACCCTAATATAACCTAACCCTAAGTAATATACCCTAGTATTAGAATATTATAATAAGGAAAAGGTATCTTTATATTTAATATAACCTAAGAAAAATAAGAATCTTTAAAGATAAAAATTAAAAGAAGGGAGATATTATATTATAATCTAGCTATCTAAAAAGTAATTTAAAAGAGATAATATAGAATATAATAGTAGAAAAAGGTAATATTTAGAGAAAATATATAAAAGAATATTTAGATTATATAGTAATTTAGGTAATTTAAGTTATTAAGATTATAGTAATTAAAATAGCTTAATTACTTAGATTATAATATTATATTATAATCTCTAGTCTATATAAGGAAGTAAGTAAACTTTAAAGGAGAGGAGGTTTTATATCTTTTTAATAGTTAATTTAAATATATTTAAGCTTTATATTTAAATATATATTATAGATAATAATATTATTATATTAATTAATTATTTTATTAAGCTATTAATAAGCTCTAACTATTTTAACCTTAATATAACTTAACTTTAAATAATATATCCTAATATTAGAATATTATATATATTAAGGTTAAAATAGTTAGGGCCTATTAGTAGCTTAGTAAGGTAATTAAATAGTATAATAATATTATTATTTATAATATATATTTAAATATAGGGTTAAATATATTTAAATTAACTATTAGAAATGATCTTAAAACTTCCTTTCCTCTAAAGTCTACTTACTTCTTTATATAGATAGGGCTCTATTAAAGACTATAGTTTCCTATAGTCTTTAAAGGTATAGTCTACTATAGATTATATATTTTCTCTATATATCCTACTATAGTCTATACTAGACTATATTTCTTCTTTTACTTATAGTTATAGTCTACCTCTTACTAGTTATAATATTTTCCTAAGCTTTATCCTTTTCTACCTTATTTATCTACCTCTGTCGGCCTACTTCCTAGACTACTTATGATAAATTAGAATTTAGACTATAGCCTTAGGCTTAGGCTATACTTAAGTAGTAATATTTAGAAAGTTAATATGCTTATCGGAATTATAACTATATCTATAGATGCGTTGGCTGAGATGGTTAATGGGGCTAATGTCGCCGAACTTAGGTAGCTTAGCTTCGATGATATGAGTCTAAATTCGATTTCTTGCCTTGAATAATTCCTGTATCGCCGGGTCCGAGGCTGATGCCACGACCTGTGTTGCTTTGTCACCAAGCCTGATCCGCCTCGCATCAAAAAGCTCGCCAAACGTAGTAATCAGCATTTGTTCTCCATTTTCTCCTATCACGATATCTTCTAATATATGCGCCTGCTTGAAGTCGCTCTTTTATCCGCTTCAGAGCAGATTTCGAGACACTGCCTAACACTTTCATGCTCATTTGCGAGTCGCTGAGTTTCGACCGTGGGAGGTGGGATGTTATCACCTTGTTGTGCAGTTGCTCTAGTAGAGAGTCGGCTTTCTACCTCTGCCCCATGGATACGTAGTCGATCAAGCGTATCGTTGAGCCTCTCAGTGCATTCTTTTAATGTTAAGAGCGTCATAACGTGGGCGAGCGTTAAATCCCGGGTTGAAATTTCATATGGCAAAACACTCTCGCGCGGTTTTGTGGCCGAGGAGGCTGGAGCTTCAACTGGTCAATATATGTCAGCGCTCCATGACAGATTTCGAGACACTGTTCCGTCGCCTTTCGCTCGCTCTGGAACCGTTCTAAATCCGTTGGCGATCTGCTGGGATGGATATTATTCTGCTGATTCAACGAGCTTAGTCTCAGGTTAATCTCCCCAAGGTGATCCTCTAGATCCTGTTTCGTATTTCGAATCATCTCTTTATATTCGTTCAGAACATGAAGGGTCACTGAACTCGAACGTCTAGAAGTGTTAGCACAACACGAGGATTGAGGAGCGAGCAACATACAGATTTGCATCTGCCAGAGCGATGGCGATGGTAGATTTATAACTAGATAACATCGTGGTAAAGCCAATGACGTCGTTATCCTTGTATTGTAACTTTGCCCAGTCTCTAAGGCTTGTTCTTGTTTCCCCAGAATGTCGAGTGCACTTTACCACAAGCTTCTGGAATTCTGAGCAGGCTTCAGCGCATTGCGTAAGTGGAAGCTCCAGTGGAAGTAAGATGGTGGGTTCGCTCGCCGAGAAGGCTTTGAGAGACTGAAGAACGCCATTGAGGGACCCCAGCTCATCTTTCAATTGCCGAACAGCTCGGGGTGGCCTCGCACGCTTTGAATGGTCTGGAAAAGTAATTTGCTGGACTGGACCGCAGCTGTGAGAATAGCCACTATTCCTGAAGCGACACTGAGCGGGTCCGCCATGTCGAAAAAAAGAGGGGGCTTGAAGAAAAGCGGGTTCTTTGATTTCATGTTTGGTTTTAGGAGTGCACACCAAGGGAATTTTTCTACGCTGCTGGGGGCTTGGGCGGGGACGATGCTCACACCATCCAATGAGGTTTAATCAGCCGTGCACACCTGATCAACAACAGAGACTGAAATACTAAATCTTCAAGCAATGCCGGCCAAAATCCCCATCCCTTAGACGGCCAGTCATCGGGAGGTAAGCGTGCCATCTAACCTTGGGGCATCACATGATTCATCGTTTGCTGCTGCTATGACGCGCAGGCGAGGCCAGGCGGCGGCCTAAAATCTTGATAATCCTTCATAAAAATATGTTGTGGTCAATGGTAGAACACGTGAGCCTGGACAATAAAAGTAAACCAAGTGGGCCTGGTGTGTAACCTCCCGCATCCCTCAATGCCATTGTCAGCACTTAACTCGGGCGAATCACTCCAATAGCACGTGACTAGTCAATAAACCCGCCCCGACCCCTCTTTCATCAAGTCCGACTTCGTCAGGCTTCACATTTCACGCTAGCGACCCCACCCTCTTCATTATTCCCAAAGCCCCTTCACCAGCCTAGAAAACCCCACCTTCTCGCCATTCAACGATGGGGGACCCTTTTAGTGTCGCTGCCTCAGCGCTAACTATCATCGCAGCCGCAATCGGGGCGACAAAGGCGCTAAATGAGACGGTGAAAAGCTACAAGGGCCGCGACAAGACCTTAGGCAGACTACAAGGTGGTCTTGAAGACCTTATCACGACTTTGCACTCTCTACAGGAGTCAATTCATGACGAAACTCAATTTTAACTCTTCTACGGGGACCCATTCAGCGATGCACACAAGTGTGTCGTGACTTCCAAGATGCTATGCAACTATTCGAAGGAAAGTCCAGGGTAGGTTTAAAAGACTGGGCAAAGATGGAGTTCATGAGGGCGATATCACTGAATTCACGGAAACCCTGGCCGATTATAAGTCAACTATCATGATCGCTTTGGGGACGATTACTATGTTAGCCACCTCTATAATCACCTCGATCTGTTCGGGTGCATTTGCTAATCCTTTTATCTTATATTTCGCAGGAAAACTTCTAAACTTACTCACGGGGTTATCGAGGAGTATAGCGAGATGATCAAAGATACGGCGTACCATCTCGAGGTACGCCTTCAACGCATCGATGAGAAAATGGAAGATGTTGCCGCTGCGCACCGTACAACTTCCTCCAAGCTTCAGGAGTAAATTTACAGGATGAAAAGGCTGTTACGATCCAGTGTCTTCGCATCTGTGAGGACGCCAGCTTATATCTCAAATCTTTGGAAGATGGGCAGCAGGGATTACAGGGGGTCAAGGTGCCGAATTTGTACTGAGCAAGTTTGAGGCGCAGCTTCTGACACAAAAGACGCTGGACGAAAACCGAGTAAAATTGGCAGAGACAATCGGTTGTCTTCGGGAACGCTTGGCCCAGGTGACTTTAAATGAGGGCCTTGATAGCGAAGATAAGATGTTGCGGCTAACGCAGCAGTGTTTGGCTGTGTGTAAGGAGGCAGCCACGCAAGTGTCGGGTCAAAAGATACACGTTATTGGGGAGGTCATCGCTGACCAGGACTGCGATCAAGTAGTGGTGACCGCTCTTGCAGATCTCTTCAATGTTGGGAAAGTGAAAGCTAGTAGCAGGTCAGCACAATTGGTCGGGTCAATGCCGCCGGATGTGCTTCGGGATATGTCTAAGCATCGCTACGGCAGCAGGTTTGGTGCTTTGGGTGGTATCGTTGCGCCCACACAATTAGACAATGCCGCAGCTTCATCGTCGGGTTTCGAAGCTCGGATACCCGACACAACCCCTAGAACGCTAAACAAACTTCAGGAAGAGAGCCATTAGGTCCAGAAGCGACCCACGATAAGCCATCCCCCAACGAAGTAAGGAGGCGGAGACTTGTTGATTAAGAATAAACAATGAAGACGAGCTACTAAAGAGCGGCTAATCGTCCCCAATGAAGTTGCCACCTCCCATCATCAGCCAGGAAGAGTAGTAATTTGTAATGGCCCCAACACCCCTACCGATTTCACTGTTTCACTTCGTATAGACAAATCTACTAAACCTTGTTGACCATTTATGTCGGAGCCCCCGAAACCAAAACCCCAAATTAAAAAAAAAAAAATGCTGCACGCTGAGCACTTATATAGGCTTCCAATTCCTAGATTTCCGCATTTGGACGCTAGAAGTATGCCACCCATGCAGCGAATACAGCCCTTAGATGGATTTCAAGCTAATACCTTGATTTCGAGGAGGAGGAGAGATCGAGTGCAATACTCAAGCAGTTCCCTTTATTGATGAAAGAGGATAATGTTAGTATTCGCTGCTTGGATCCTCCTAATAGATCCGTTTCTACAGGGTAATTTCTATCCCTTTTATATCTGACATCCCTGGGATATCTATATGATCCGTCTGTAACTGCCGTTCCGGTCGGATATAGGGGTAAACGCCATCCGGTTTGGGATGAAGGGAAAACGCCACCGGATCTGGATCCTTTCGACCCAGCCTCCTCTCTCGCACTGAGCCCCTCAAGGCTCTCGAACGCACGTGACTCACCGTGTGGATCTACGAGGAAAAGTCCCACCCATTTCCTATCTTTTATTACAAAATTGCTAGAACGATGCTAATGATCCAGTGTTGAAGGATACTGGACTAGGATACGGAACCAGGCTAGTGCTTGAGGTCCGGATCCGTCTGGACCCGAATCTAGATGCCGTCTACCCTTGTATCCGAGCATGGGTTGGAACCCCCTTTTCGTTTGGAGCTAAGATCGGCTATCTTTAGATCCGGATAACGGCTATTCATGTATTCGAGAAACCCTGAACGGATCCCAGTTGGATCCCAATTCTGGTCTATATGTACTGTAGCTTTATCCCATAGAAACGGACCCGGGAAAGAGGATCCAGGCAGTGAATACGAACCGTCAGTTCCCCCAAGACCCACATATGTTCGATATCTAGACCCAAAGAATCGTAACACCGCCAGACGGCTAGCCTACCTAGTTACGGTTAAAGTCCGGCCTCTGGCCCCGATCGTCTTTTCACTTTGTGGCGTGCCACGTGATGTACCCCGTTCGTATTAAAAGTGGGGGAAACTGGAAACTCATCGTTGTCCTCTCTCTTGCCTTGATCTTGACCGCCTCAACCGCCGCAATGAATCGAAGCTCAAGTCCTCCACGCACACCCAATCCACCGAACCTCACAAACCTAACGGGTACCGTCCCCAACGGGCCGGATCACCGAACACATCCTCAAGTAAGACCCTCGACACATTTTGTCCATGACGTAGAGGTGCATCGTGCTGGGGCACATATCCTCCTATCAACCCAAATCGACCACCTGTGGGACTCACGACGGATTATAGTTGGAGAAAACGGTGTAGAGTGTGCTGGGATCATGAACGATGCATCAATCCAGGCACTTTGTGCTGCTTTTGGATTCCACGGACTGAACAGCTCACAGAATGTGGCGGGCTCGGTCACATCGTCCTTCTCAGGCCTGGGACGAAAGGTTGCGGATGGGGCTCAAAAGCGTGATTGAGAGAAGGCGGCAGCGAGTCACGATATTTTCCCTACATGCCCAGCTAACCAAAGATGCATGCCTGGAAGTCAAGCTTCGTCAACTACCGGCACTCCAGCAACCAGGATGTCTCAGACTGGAATATCCCTCTAATCTATCTCTGACTAGAGCTTTAAGACAAGCTGGGAGCGAAAAGGATGTATTATAGACACATAAACGCGCTAATAACAGTACGGATTGGTTTTATTCACACGAAGTGCTAAGCGCCACGGGCGAGTACTCTTCCTAGAATATTAGAGGGGCTTTACATTTTTGCGTCGTACTGGGGTACACGTCCTATCAACCCGGATTGACCCGCAGTGCGAGCTCTGGGACCCTGGGATCTCGGGATACATACTTTGGCCATTGGCGAAGGAAATAGGGAGAGTCACGAAACCAAAATGCGGCAGGCTTTTCCTGGAGTCGCGTGTCTAAGTTGGGGTTGATGCATCCTTGTTTCTTGATTATTCAGGGGGCTTGATTAGCTGCTAATCTTCTCCGTGATTGTTTGCCATGCGTTCCAGCCGTCAGTCGCGTCGTTAATGCACGAGGCTGAAGGGCGGGTGCAAAGAGTAGGGATTGGGTGTGCTACGACCCCAGAAAAAGCAAGTCTTGCCCTGTAAACCTTCCAACGCGATACTCCCCTTCATCTACAAGTACGAAGCAGTAATAGCTGACGGTATAACTGAAGGTACCGGTTTAGCATGCCTGTAGCCCGAGCTCTTCTCGTTGCCAGCACAATATTTATTTGTACGTAACAACCTCACATGCTCCTGAATATGAGCCCTTTTCCTTTTCTCATCGCGTCTAGTCACGTTTTACATGTCGCCCGTATATATGCGTTTAACCTACTCCTCCATCGAGCATTCTTTATATCCACATATTAACAACTGGAGTAGCCATTAACCTCCTAATTGCCCTCTTTTTCCAGCTTCAGGGATGGAGCCAAAGTCAAGTACTCAGGTCGATGTCTCTGATCAACAGTGCCAACCGATAAGGCGCCAGTTGGGCTTTTATGAACTAAACCACCACACGTAATATCCAGAGCTATACACGTATCTTTTGCGATCGTATTTTGGCGAGGAGGTTTGTTCTCCACAATGTATTGATACAGATGCTCCCCTTCCTGACTTTCTACCCATCGAGATGCTTTACAACGGCACTGGAAACAATGCTCTAGAGCATGTGGGCAGTCTCTCCCAACCCTCCCACAAGGTAAGCGGGGTCGGAAACAGATTTCGTGCGACGAGTGCGCGCGCGGCAAGAAAAATTGCGACAGCGGCAAGGCATGTCTATTATACAAGAGAAAGCACCGAGATTACACTTATTCGAGTACGTCCGGCCTTAGCTTCACGCCGTCTGCCTCTTCAGGTGGAACTAACGGAACGCTCCCAGAGCTCGCTCATGGAGCCAAGAAAGACCGATTCACCACACGTCGCGGTTTCCGATTCTTCGAGGTCCAAGGTAGTGGATAACAGAAGGGTCGATAAAAGCAACTCCCTAGGCTTGACTACTGCTCCAAGCGGGACTTGTCAGACCTAGACCAAGAAGAACCTGGCAGTTAGAGGCGGCATCGAGACTAACGACGTTGGTGGCTACCGTAGTGGGACGTCCACACCAATCGAACCTAAAAGGCGATGGCTGCTCTACTTGATTCGTTGAAGCCATACGCGGAACGTGTCATTATGGACAAGGTGTTAGACGACATCCTGAAGCTCACTTTGAATGAGGCTCGTCGTTATGGTTAGGAGAGAAGCATAAGAGCCCCCTACGTTGGCTCGGGGTTTCTTTCCTCGTGATGACTATTCGAACTAACCAATTTCCGGCCGCCATATCTACAGTGTGATTCAGTCTGTTGCTCATATCTCCAAAGTCCAGTCGTTTATCGTGGGGGATGAAAAACTAGGCATCGAGCCTCTGGACAACCCCAAATTCCCCTAACATGGCCGAGCACTTTTCCAATATCAGTTGACACTTAAATAGACTACCTATATATTCAGTATATAAAGTATCATCTCAAATCTGTTTTAAATGATTTGAAGAAGCTTATTTTTGGGAAGGGCGACCTGTGAGAAAACTAATATGAAATGTTCCTGCTGGTATTCGTGCTGCTCGTCACCCTAGAGGGTATTTATGAGAGGTAGATTGCCTTTATGCGAAAGTATGTAGGTGAGGTAAGCAGCATTCTCAACCTCTCCTCTTGCTGCACACAAATATATTAACAAGCAGGGGTATAGGGAGGAAACATCTTTGCTAAAGTAAACTATGTGAAGCGACATATTATGGAAGAATGGCGCGATTCTGCCAAGAACCTCATCTATCATTTTCGTGTCGTCATTCGGGGAATGACACCGTTCAACTAGGATTGACACCGGAAATAGAGGGGAAGGCCGGTCTAGATAAGTAGTTAAAGGAGTACATTCGACAAGTATCAGAGATGTTGTCGAACCGACGTGAGTACCACCAGGGGCCTAGTCTTCGATAGTATTAGCGAAGACGACCATTTGGCGACCGACATCCTGTCTGCCCGCCTGCGAGCGAAATATTAGGGTTCACAGGTCATTACATATCGGCCTTGTATAAAAGAGATTCTCGACACCTCATATCGGCTACGCTCCGAAACGAATCTGTCGCTTCTTTACGCCCCCTACTCTAAGCTTCCACAGCATATTGTGCGGAAAGTTCAATAGATATCTAGCGAAGTATAGGCTCATGTAAAACAGGGTGTTCGGTCGCTCATTGAGAGTATACAGGCTTTATATGGCCTTAGGGACAAGCGTCCTATCATCATAAATATGTTTAGTATAGCTTATATATAGGATCATTGACGCTAGTTCAAACACAGCATCTGACAGCAGCAATTTTAACACCAATGACTGTTACCCTCTATCTATGTCCTTCTAAATTCTAGCGTAGCTAGGGAAGCTCGGTGTTGAGGCGTCATGTATAGCGTTGACTATAAGCCATACCTTCCTTGCAAGCGTTCTTCGCTAAAACTCGATCTCTGCCCTAGATCGTGTACGCCGCCTTTCTTGAAGAGGGCAGCAGGTGGGTTGAAAGTTCGGAGGGGATGGATAACCCATGGGGATCCTGCCAAGACATCCCGCGGAAATGCCATCGATTTGCTAAAACTACATCTAAGATAGAGAAGGCATATCGAGATACCCTTGCTGTCTTCGGAACGGATAGATGGATAGAATGGTTCTTTATTTGTATTGTTCCTGTTGAAATTAGTACTAGAGTTAAAGAGCATCCCATAGACACTAAGGGATCTTCGCACACCGAGCCTCATGCCATTATTAGTATGCTAATCATTACATCGTAGGGATGCCACCCTTCTCACTCCCACCCATCCCCATCAGTTCCCATCTTGTTTCAAGCGGAGCCCTTAAAGCACTCGGAAATCTCCTTCTTAAACCTCTCGCGGATCATCCTCCGGTTGAGCTTTTGGGTGGCCGTGACAAGCCCCTACATAATCCGGTTAGCAACAGCTGCAGCATGTCGTTTTGAGCACGGAGGTTGGCACTCACACTGGGGGCGTCCATTCCTCGTCCGTGATTACGACACCAGACACAATTTCGATTTCAGATAGACCAGCGCGCCTGCCAGTCGCCTGAAGATCCTTGAGAACTAGATTACGGACCTTGCGATCGCTATGCATGCTATGCTCGTCAACACCTACCTCTTTGGCCCTCTCGGCGAGCGCTTTCTCGTTGGGCATGATGACGGCAATCGGACGCGAGTATTCGGCCTCGGCCTGGACCATGACGTTCGCTACGACCTGACTGCCTCGGTAGACCGCCTCAACCTTCTCCAGGGCAATGTATTCACCACCTTGCATCTTCACGAGATTCTTGAGACGATCTATAACTCGCAGGTGGCCATTGGCATCGAACTCCCCGATGTCGCCAGTCTTGAACCAGCCATCGGCCGTAAACGCCTTGCTCGTTTCTTCCGGGTTCTTAAAGTATTCTGTCATGATAGGCATACCCTTGAACCAGATCTCTCCCTGAGGTATATCCGCATCGGCGGAATAGCCTAGCTCAGGGAGGGACACTAGTTTCGCATCCAAGGAGCCAGGTATAGGTCCGATGGAATTCGGCGAATACTCAAGCGGGCACCCAAGGGATCCAGTGGCGCAGGTCTCGGTGAGACCATAACCCGCGAGCATGGGGGCGAGGACCAGGGACACAAACTGTTTTGTTTCGTCCGAGATGCCGCTTGCGCCGTTCATGGTGAACCGGAGCCGGCCACCTACAAGTTCGCGAACCTTGCTGAAGACGATCCCGTCAAAAATAGACGCTCCAGGGAGCCTGTTCCGAGACATAAAGCCCTTGTAACCAACAGCACCCCAGAACAAGGCTCGCCGGATCGGACTCGAGGTCTCAAGCTTAGCTAAAACACCCTTCCTCACCGTCTCCCAGATCTGAGGGACGCCTACCATGACAGTGGGCTTCAGCTCTCGCATATCCCCAGCGCAGTTCTTGACTGACATATCGGATAGTGTCTTGGGACTCCCGTACCCGAGAGTTCCGCCGATAAAGAAGACAAGATTCTCGAGGGCCATTTCGAGAATATGAGCCAGTGGTAGGTAGGCGAGCACGCACTCCTTGTCGCTGACACAGTCGTCGACGCAAGAGTAAAGGCCGGCAACTTCAACGCAACCGTCAGTAGATTGCAGCATACGGTGTAGCGAGAGACTTACCTGCAGCAGTCAGTGACTGGTGGGTGATGCAAGCGCCTTTAGGTACACCGCTTGTGCCAGAAGTGTACATAATACAATACAAGTCAGGGCCCTTGGCGGGAACCAGCTCAACAGGGTTCTCCTGGCCGAGTTTAAGCAACTCCTGGTAAGTGATGACCTTGATCTCGGGATGGTTCTTCTTGAACTCGTCGATTTCGTTGCCGGTGCCGAAGATGCAGTCCTGGTTTACAATGACGGTCTTGATTTTGGATTCTTGGACAGGGCTTCCAGTGGCAGTCGACAGCAGGTGAGGGTCAATGTACATGACCTCACACTCGGTCTGATCGAGAGAGTGCTTGATGCCCTCGGCTCCGAGACTGTCGTACGCAGTGACTATCGGGATGGACTGGGAGGTGCAGGCGTGAGACATGGAGATCCAACTCACACTAGCGTAAAGGAGAATGTAAGTACCGCGGTCAACAGGTAGTGGAAGGGGTGCATACCTGGTGGTGCCGAAGAGGTGGAGCTTCTTATCAGGCCTGAGGCCTAGTTTGCGTAGCCCGCACCCCAGTTCAATGATGAGCTGTTCGTAGTCTTTATAGGTGATGAAAGAGAACTGAGAGAGCTCATAATACTGCCACTCTCTGCTCACGTCTTTTATCTGGCCGTCGATGTTCTTTTGGATTTTCTTGGTCTCTTTGTGAAGCTTGATGAGCTTGCGGTAGCCGACAGCGTTGTTGTTGGGGTAGAGGCGTGCGCTGCGGCGAATGATGTCGAAAACTGTGTGGACGCCATCGGCCGGAGAGTTGACGAGACCATCTTTGTACTTGACATGCCGCCGAGGTATTGTCTCCCCGGGGACCTTAGAATAGCCGGGCGCCTCCACGGTAAATGGGGGCTTGTGCACCTGGTGCAGGGGCATGATCTCCGTGGAGTAGTCCATGCTGGGCAATTGGGGTAGAATCAGGGCGCTGGAGCGAAAGATGTAGTCTTCAGAGGGAAGTTAAGATTAGAAACTTGCAGCTGCAGTTGAGGCGTCGGCGATCAATGTAGATGGGAAGCTGGCGGCGCAAGGGACGATGGAGGGGTCGGAGAAGAAGAAGGAGAAGGGGGCTGTACAAGTAAAACGGTTGGTCCAATATCTGAGGCAACCAACAAAGACTGTTGAGGTGTTGATGACAATGATGACAATAATGACAATGAGTACCTAATAAGATACTAGACTCACACGGGAGCAGCAGGCAGCCTCTTATTGGCACCCCTTCCTGTATTTTGACCTTCCATATCCTACATATACTAGGAAATGTTGAGAAAGTGAACTTCGTACCTCGAAAGTCCCTTGGCCTTCTTTTTTTTGTTTGATATTATATCTTTTATTTCTAATAATTCGATTTAATTGCTAATATTGAAATTTAAAGTAGTTCGAGCTACCGAGACGCACGATGGCATAGTCTTAACAGGTCAAAAGATTACCACAGCCTCCACAAGAGCTGGAGTTTCCTTTAGGATATCCGTTTTACCACAGGTCATTCTCAGACGGCAAGGAAGTGGCACTTGGAGTGGCACCGGACTGTTTTCTGCCCATAACTTCGAGGAGGGAAAAGGCCGTCGGCCTCTTACCTCGAACTTTCTTCTTCTTCAACAACAGCAACAACGACTATTTATTATCTGCTCAGTTTACCATATTGTGCTTTGAAGCTTATGTCTTGCCTGTCCTAGGCCAACGGGTGCTCCATCTTGTGCTCTCTTTACACTCAGCCATTGACAGATTGTCTCATTATGTCCTCTCCTAAGAGCATATAACAGCTCGCAGGGAGACGACGACTGAACCACTCCCTTTCTTACCCCACTGGTTAAGCCACACTAACCCGTCTTGATTCTAACTCTTTTTCTCCACGCGCGCTTCAAGTCATGTTTACCTTCTCCCATCGCATCAAAAGCCCTACTGCCAATACCGCCGCAGCCCCTGAGATTGATATGCCATAGACAGTGGCGATAGTGCTGGCGATAGCATCCGACGTGAGACTACGTATTTCAGGAGTGCTTTCGCTGATGATAGTAGAGTATCCGCCGGCAAGTGCTGCACGAATCTCGCTAGAGGAATATCCCCTCCCGTCGAGGGCGCTTTGCAAAGTATTGAAGCCAACGTTCTGAAAGAGGGTCCCTGCTATAGCCAACGCCAAGGCTCCACCACCTAGTTGTCCCACGTTGATGAAGCTAATGACAGATGTTGCCTTGTCGCCAGGAAATTTGACAAGAGCGATCGAGTAAGCAGCTTGTAGTGTCAGACCACATCCAGCCCCAATCAAGACCTCAAATCCATAAATGTTTCCCGCAGGCGTTGCGGTGGAGATGAAGAACATGGGTACACTTCCGGCCAAGGCCAGTATGCCGGATATGACGTACCAAGCAGCGTAAAGGTTGAGTTTTGGCATAAGAGCCCCGGATAAAAGGGCACTAATTATCAAGAGGAATATGAAGGGCAGAAGGCGACCCGCGACCTCGATAGCGCCATCTCCCTTTGTGAATTGGAAAAAGAGAGGAATGTAGTAGATGTTGAAAAGTTGACTGCGCTGGTACCGGCAGTCCCTATGAACAACAGAACCAACGACCGGCTTTTGAGGCACCAAACTGGAAAGATTCGATCTTCTTTGGTTGTTAAGAATGCAGTCCATTGTTGCAGCGTATAGAGAATGGCAGTGACCCCAGTCATGACCCAGAGGGTAATAGTTGAACCTGAGTCCCATGGCCACTGAGAGCCACTATATGTGCACGCGGTAATGAAGAGCGCAAATGTTGCGGCATTAAGTAGCGCGCCAAGCCAGTCGAGGTTCTTGATCCGTGGTAGGATCTTTTCGTGGTGGTGTGCGCCGTGATGCGGGAACCAGAAGATATAGATCGGGGCGGTAATTGCGGCGAGGACGAGGTTGATATAAAAGGCCCTTTGAAAGGTCAGTTGATGAAGGTCAAACCATCGTTCGTTGCTTGCACTCACCAACGCCAAGTTGCCTTACTCTGAGCAAATCCGCCTCCGATAACAGGGCCAAGGACGGCGCCAAGACCCCAGAATCTATCACGACTGTCAATCTCAATGCTCCACCTTCAAGGATCGTTGACGGGAGACGTACGCGCTAATCAAGGCAGTGTAGAGTGGTCGTTTGGCTGGGGTCGGAAAGATGGAGATATACGTCATACATCTTGCTCGATAGTCAACATCGACTCTTTACAGCAGTGTCATAATACACTCACCCAAGATAGATCCCGGTTCCACCCATTCCTGCCACGACTCGGCCGACAGCCATGGCCGTCATATTGGGAGCCACACCACAAATTGCACTACCGATCTCAAATGCGATGATACTGCCCAGATACAACCATTTAACCTCTACCTTGTTGTAGAGGGAGCCGAACAGCGAGATGGTGGCGACCGAGCCAAGTAGAAATCCGGTACCAACCCACGGCAGCATCTTCAGATTTCCTAGAGAAGCCAGAATGGGCCCTTGCACATCAGCAGCAATCGTCGAGTCCAGTCCATAGAGGAATGCGGTCAGGTACAACCCAACGCATACATTGAACCAGCGGAGGTTGCTCATTTGTACAACTGCAACGTCTCCCACCTCTTCCTCTGGCGTTACCGAGCCATCCTTGTCGACCGCGATGGACTCGGTGGGCGACTGCCCAGTGACTGGTAGCTTTTCAGCGACATCTCGCGTGTGAAAGTCGCTGGCGGACTCGGCCTTTGAGCTCATGATAGCGCACACAGTGACACTCATGACGGAGCAAGGGTGAGACGAGGTCCGATGCAAAAACAGATGGGATGAGTGATGGTATTGTGGCCCTACAGTTGGAAGGGCCTTGAGCTGGTGGAGGAAGGCCTTCTAGTCATATTTGAGGGAGCGATGGACACGGTGAGCAGCGCGACTTGCGTACCTGTTCCTAATGGTCTTCCTGTTGGTTGACTCTGATTCGGGTCAGTCGGCCGAGAACCAAAATAGTGCTCGCTGGTAGTGTTGGGACTTCCGTCAGCCTCCCCAACAATTCTCAGCCTCCACTCCTCGTTCTACGGCATATTAGCCCTACTTCCCTTAAATCCACTTCCCCCTTTGTCTTCTTGCCTCGGATTTGGTCCAACCGCATTGCTTGGCTTGTTCTTTTCTCAAACCCCCACGTCAGCTATCCCAGAGTGGGAAACGGGCGTAGAACTGTTAACTGGGTAGATCGTGTTGGTTTCACCGGGAGCGGCGGGATAACCGGTGTTGACGGTAGCAGCGTCCCGAGTGGCATCAGTAGGATACGTGTTAGGATTGGTAATCTCGCTGGTGTTGTGGTGGGTGTTATTGTGGGTAGGGTCATCGGCCGTAGCGGTGTTACGAGTAGTTGTAGTACGCGGTATGGGGGAATTGGGCAGTCCTAGCTCCATGACGTACTGTTATCACGTCCCGCGTTCGTTATTGTTCAATGTTAAATCCATTCCCGTCTGTGAGTGCGCATTTTGGCGCCTGTTGGTGGCGCAAGAAAATAAAATTGTGAGTTTTGTTGAGGTAACACAAGTGCCGAGGTAAGATCCATCCATGGATATTTGAATTGAGACGCAGGCCCTATCAAACACCGCGGGTACGGGGAACGGAATTTAAAGAAGGTGGGGGTTTTAGTGTTTTAGGCACCAACCAAGTGCTCATACCTCTCAACATCTCGACATCTATGCATCCTTTCGTATCTGTGCCTCTTAGTTGCAGATCTGTTATTATGCATAACCGTGGATATATCCTGGCTAAGCCTTGAGGACGGGCAGGAGAATGACGTTATGGGACACGTTAACTGATAGGGCAAAGATTCGAAGCACGTCAAATTGTACGTTCTCTGGTCGTTGTTACGTCTTAGAGTTGCCTGATCGGTTGGATTAAGCACTATACTGGTGGAACATTCCCTAACCGTCACAATAAGAAACCCCAACAATCCCGCTTATAGTAGGGCAAGAGCAAGGGCAAGGGCACTTCGGGAGACTGATCCAGACCCACATTACTAGTAGTGGTCGTTGTAAGCCAAGTAAAATAGTGCCGGCATCATTATGTGTCGATTCTTCGTTGCAGCCGGCAAGTGTCCATAACTGCTTTCATGATCGTTGTCCCTACATCGTTGCACTTTGTCTGCTGCGGTGAAATCGAGGGACCTTGGAATACATTGAGAACTCAGACACTGTTGCTGTAATCGGCCCTAACATCTAGGACAAGATACGCATAGCTTGTTTGTTTTATCGATCTGCACAGATATAGCCTTCCGGGGTCTCTATCCTATGCCCGTAACCATATGTGTATAAAGAAAGGATTTCATACCGAGCTAATAGCTTCAAAACCCTTATGGAGTATTTGCAGTCGAGAGAACCCGAGCAAGTCGGCCAGAATGCCGACCTCGAGAACTACCCGGACGCTGTAGCTGCATTCCTATGCAGAAAGCTCCGCGTGGTATACTAGCTCAACCCCTAGGACAGATACTAGTCCGAAATGGCAGGACTAAGTGTCTCTTCTAGTTAACGAACGCTTTGGATCGTGTAAACAAACAAAAACGATGTTGCAAAACTAGTCTACTTTGCTGCGTGGAGTGTTATGTCCCCCGGCCTAAATTGATAAGGATTGTACTCCCAGTTCCATGCCAGATGGATTCTCTATGCATGAAAAAACCCCCGGAGCTGTACCATTAGTGGTTACCATACCCTTTTGCTAGACTTGATAGGACACGACTTACGCCTTTATATACCTAAAAGTCGAGAAATAGGTAAGAGGCGAAGGCAACCAATTAGGCACGGACAACACCCGCCCATTCTCAGCTCTTCGGGTCCTTTGTCTGTCTCTACCTTGGTCATCCTGCCGATTCTCACCGCCCGAGGGCGAGACTTGGGCATCAACGTACTTCGCCTCACTTTCGCCTCACATTCACCCCAGCCGATGCCTCTCGTCCTAATCCTCTCATTTTGTCTTCTTGGTATACAGGCTTCTCCAATTTTGGCGTCGCTTGTTATGATTTCTCGTACTTATGTACAGACGCATTAGAGATGGAACCCTTGACGGCGCTCGGCCTAGCCGCTAACATCGTGCAGTTCGTAGAATTCAGCACCAAGCTCATTCGCGCCTCCAAGGACATCTACGACTCGGCCTCGGGCGTGACGGAGGAAAATCGAAGCTTGGAGTCAGTCTTTGAAGAGCTGCAAACCCTCGCCTTTCGTCTTACGCCCCCGACGACGGGCCTTCAGACTGATGACGAGCGCGCCCTGTCTCGGCTGGCCGCGGAATGCAGAATCCTATCAGACCAAATGCTCGATTTGCTGCGGAAAATAAAACCTAAAGACCCAGAGTCGAAACGCCAGAGCGCCTGGTCGGCGGTCAAGGATAAGTGGAACGAGAAGGAAAAGAAAGAGCTGAAACAACGACTCGACAACTGTCGGAATCAGTTAGAGCTTCAACTCAACTTCTTAATGAGGTAATTTCCACTCTCCCATAGTACATAAGAGAGCGCGATGCTAACAGTAATGGCAGTTCTGATACCAAGACGAAGTTAGAGGCTCTGGCAAAACACGCAAGCGAGAGTGTTATCAAGTTTGACGTGCTCCAAAAGCACATCGATGGCCTTCGAAGAGGTGTTGCCGTCACATCAATTAGCACCGAAGCCCAGGCGCAGCTTCGCGAGCTCCTTGACCTGTCGGAGGCGGTATCTACACGCATTGTGCAGCGGCGAGTGCTGAACGCCCTTGCCTTCCCAGACATGCGCGGGCGGTTTGAAGCCGTGGACGTTGCGCACTTCAAAACCTTTCGTTGGATCTTAGAAGATGAGGAATCTGAAGATGAGGAATCTGAAGACGAGGAAGACGAAGCACTAGATTCCTACCCTAGCTCGCGTTCTGGACTGGGCTTGGGCGACGACGAGGATGGTAGTAGGTCGGAGCGCGACTCTGATCCCAATCTCCTTGCCGACCTAGATGAAAATGGCGATGGCGAACTACAGGTTGACCCGACGAACGCTGAAGGAACTAGGGATGGAACCTCTGATCTTGGAGAGACGACTGGAGAAAAGATAGAAGGGGTCAACCCGCAAGTTGAAGAACAGAAATCAGTTGACGAAGAGAGACATATTCAAGAGGAAGTCGACGAGAGCGTTGAGTCAAGAATATACAAGGTAGCTCCCGGAGCGGCACGCGATCAACTTGCGTGGGCTCGGAACTTGTTGTCGAATTGGCTCACGTGTGGAACGGGCGTCTTCCACATATCTGGCAAAATGGGATCGGGAAAGTCGACCTTGATGAAGTTTTTGTGTGATCATCCACAAACAAAAACCAAACTTGAGAAATGGGCAGGTATGTGCATCGCTTCTAGGTGAAGCTGGAATTTCCCGCCGTTGACACCGCTTTACTAGGTATTCAAAAGCTCGTGCTGGCGAAGTTCTTCTTCTGGAAGCCGGGAACACGTCTACAAAAGTCTCTGAGTGGCCTCTTCCGCTCGCTTCTCCACGACGTTTTGAGTTCCTGTCCCGAACTCATACCGATAATCCTCCCCAAAGAATGGCATATGGCCTTAGAGATGCCTTGGCAATCCCAGGGTACTATAGAATTTTCCGATGCCACGATCCAGCGCGCCTTCACCCTCATCGCCAAGGAAAGCCGATACCAAGACCGTTGTTTCTGTTTCTTCATTGATGGCTTAGACGAGTACGAAGAGACTCACCAGGAGGACTATAGGGCCATGATTGAACTGCTTTCGAGCTGGACTCGTGTTGCTCCTAATAATATCAAGCTATGTGTTTCCAGTAGGGAGTATAATGTCTTTCTTAATTTCTTCCCTCCAGACCAAAGGCTTCGATTACAGGACCTGACAAGAGGGGATATAACGCGGTATATACACGATAAACTTCAAGATATTGATGACGAAAGCGACAAATCATGTCTAGTTGAGGCCATAATGGAAAAGGCCAACGGTATCTTCCTATGGGTGGCTTTAGTTGTTAGGTCGCTTCGTGACCGACTGGAGCAGACACGCGATATAACTATCCTAAAGAAAGAGATTGAGCCTCTCCCAGATGAACTCGAAGGCTTATTCTGTTTTCTCTTGAATTCGCTCAGCAAAGCAGCCCGCACGACGGCCTACCAGACATTTGCTATGCTCGACGTGGCGACCACTCCCGTTCGCCTGTCCTTATTTGCATATTCCTTTCTCGAGGATTACATCAGGAATTCAAAGTTTGCCATAGAAACTCCTTTCCAATACGAAGCCTTGGATGATACTCAAAGGGCTGATCGGATAGCTCGAGGGCGCAAGAACCTCTATGGCTGTTCGAGGGGCCTTGTGGAGGCCTCAGCTGACGTCGTCGGTTACGCACACCGCTCCATCCCGGACTTTTGAAGAATCCGGAAATCACGCGCGAAATGAATCTTCACCTTGAAGATTTCCACACTGGGAGAGCCACCTCTCACCTGCTTCTCGCCGAGATCCGGTCATCTCCAGGGCCGCTGTCTAAGCGCGATCACTTTGATTTAGGCGTGTTGGTGCATACAATTATAAGGCTGCGGGCCCGTACAAATGCTGACCACACACCATATACGTTTCTGGAGTGCCTTGAAAGTACAGCTTTAAATAAAGGTGGCATTGAGCTAGAATACCCCGCCCCGGTCGGCAGAAGGCGGCTTGAGGTCGGAGGAAAATCCCAGCTGCCAACCTATACGGACCTAGTCCAGGAGGCGCTCTTGACCTTATCACCGTTCTACATATCAGCGCTCTGCGGACTTGAAGATTATGTGATCTGGAAAATAGAACAGAACCTCGCTGTTCTCGATACCAACTTCAAGACAGGTCTCCTTGTATCATGCGTCGAGTTCCACAGCATTGAATTTGGTCTTGGTGTAGTAGAGCTTTTGCTGAAACGAGGCTTGTCACCACAAGCGACGATACACAACGGTTCTGGGAGCTCTCTTTTCGAACCGAAGATGGCCCTACTTCCTTTTGGGAGCAATTTTTGCTTGCCTCTGTACTGATTTGGAGAGCTTGCGATGAGGGGCTGGATCGGGACCGGCGTCGGAGAATTGGCCAGGCGATGGAGAGTTTCCTTCTCCATGGCGCCGAGCCTTTGTTATGGTTATCGTTCCCGTTTCAGGTGAAAGCGACGACTGGAGAAGAAGATGATGAGGTCAAGGACGAGAGTGATCATTATAGCACCGACGATGATGATTGTCTTATCGCCGCCGTCGAACTGAGGTCAGGAAGCGGAGGTCATAAGAAAATATACCCCCGCCTGCAATATGACCCCTTCGAACTTTTCAATGTGCCTCACGCATGTGCCAAAAGGCGGCAATTCTCACTCAGCGAGATTTTCGAGCTCATGAACTTTGAGAACAATGATGCTCTCCTACGGCTGGTTGATAGCGGTATCAAGCGACGGGAGAAAGAGACTAAAGAAGCGGGCGACCCAAATGTTTTCGTTTCGCAAGGTGAAGGGATGCGAGGGCACGGAAACACTTTAGGTGAAGCACCTACTACCATTGTCAAATCACACCTTTGGAGCTTGGCGTGTCTAGGACGGAGGATAAACGGCGTTCTAGCCTCCCTGGGCCCCGTTTTGGATCAGATTGCGAACCGCCCAGCGCCGATGTTTGTCCTTGGTTCGTAATTGGTTTCCATTTCCTTTCCCGGGGATGAATATTCTGACGATTTGATAGGCATATTCGCGGCGGGCCTAGCGCCGCGGATCTGGGAGAGAGTTGCGCGGTACAGGCGTTGGTGATTACATCAATGAATGTATCATAGGTAGACCAGTGTTGTCAATTTCGAGGATGGAGAGGTGGGATAAAGCCAGGCGTGCACCGTGTAACGTGGTTCTACGTGTTGATATTGAATCCAGCGCGAGGGACTCGCCGCCGCTCAAACCGGTTTATCTGCACCTCACTCCTGGTGCGTCTACCCGGATAATTTTAATTATGCTATACTGGCTGGCGGAGCTTTCTAGCAACTATTTGTCGCGTATTGTGAGTGGTCTAGAGAGAAATCGTGTCTTAACGGCATACCGATTCCTTGTAAGTGAATTGCTCGCTCACTGGGCCATTCAACTTACTTGCCTGTGTGTATACCTCTAAGAAGAGACACTGGTTACCCGTAGATAGTGCGCCATGTAGGATGTCTAGACATCAGACGTGCAGCTATCGGACTAAGCTACGGAGCGCACCAGCCAATGGTCCATGTCGCTTACTCGGGACAATGCGGCAGATCCACAGCCACTACCTTGAGTTTGCTTGTATTCTCTCCTCCCCTCCAGCATCCCGCGTAATGGTCTCTATTGAGACAGCGTCCTCCCGAGCTCCCTTCAACCCCTGAGGCAACTGGTGCGAGATATAGGACTACACAGAACCAGGCGCTTTCAAAGGGACTCAGTCCTATATGGCGGCTTGGCTATCAGTAAACCGATACCGATACCTCCACTCACTCTGTCTAACACGTCTGTGGGGTGTCTAGGATGGCCCCAACGGTGCGGTGATCACAGCCACTAGCGCGGTGGTAACGCCCTACAAGATCTCGTCCGCTTTACCACATTTGTTGAACTACCACTTTCTATCCATCAATCTGACTACTCACCCGACAACTCCCCGTGGATCGTCATTGACTGCAGCTACCCCGGGACCCCCGCGGCCATGCTCCAAAAGTATTACCCTGGCACGTTTGCCGCACCCGTTGCGTCGTGCGCTCCTCTACACGTGTCTGGGAACTACTGGCAATACTGGAAGGCGATCGAAGAAGTGCTCCCGCGCGATTGCAGCTCAGGTCGACAGATGATCGTCGCCCATCCTCACAAGCTAGTGTCAGACGATGTCACTCAAGACGAGATCGACATGCTTATGGCACGCTTCGAAGGTAGGGAGAACTTGGGGATGGCTTTGGACGTCATTTGGAGATTTGAGGAGCCCATCATGCTCTGGTAGGTTAACATGAGTAACACATTTCAATTATGTGATGCTCTTCTCAGACACGCCGATAGGTTCCCTGAGAGGCCGCGAGATCTCGACTTGGCCCTCGACGGACTAGCTGAGAACTTAAAGGAGAGGATGACCTCAACGAGCCTTCCAGAGAACGTACCCCGTTGGAGACGGAAAAGATGGTCGATTACTACTACCCACCCTTTGGTCGGACGAGTTGGTTATGGCTTCAGTGTGTACGTATGGTGGTCCACCAATCCGTTTTGTGAGTGACGGGGCTCACTGCCCTCCAGATACTAACAATGGCAATGTGTACAACGAGCCACTAGGAAGCTTTCATGCTGTTCCCGAGGCCTCAACGGGCGCGAAGATTGTGCCTGGCCTACCGGGGACTTTGTCGGCTTTGGTGCAACACTCTCAGAGAAACCCATCCCACACCAGCCATCCTTACAGGGGAAAAACTATTGACGAGCTCCACAATTGGCTGGGTGACTGGAAAGTCGACTATGACAAGGTTCTGTTCATTGTCGGTGACATGGACCGTGGAGGTACACTACTCTAGCATCAAGTCTAAGGCCTGGGGGTCCCATTGAATCAACGGAAGAGGCACCAATCTTGGTCTACAAGGGTGGTAATCACTGTTCTAATGTAATATGGAAGGATGATGAAATCCACGCGGAATTCTTTGCCGATATGGTTCATATTCTTCAGGGGTGGGTTGACGAGTGGGAGCCACAGATTTATCGGGGGTGTGAGTAAATAAGGGCCTCGGATTCACCGCAATGTCTAACAGAGGTTTTTTTACGCACGTGCTGTCTTAATCGACAACTCATAGAGGGGACGTTATACAAGAAACGCTGTTTGGGCTCATAGCTGTGGAAGAGAGTAAGATGTTGTTCGTATTAGCTGCTTACTGTCTAAAATGGAGGCTCTTCCCACTCTAAAATATTGCTAAGATCTCTATAATTGAAATTAGGGGACAGTCTCGAGGATCCAAGACTTGAGTCACCCAGTCATGGTGTACATTGTCTCTACCACCGTCCCCATAGTAAGAATGTTAGGCCTGGTTAGGTCACCGCGGTCCTTTTGTGCTTCATCCTTTGTCCGTTTTCGCGTTCGACAGACCGTTGCGCCGCGTCAAAGGATTCCACCGCCAACACCACTTAGACCCAGATGCAGATAGCGCTCTCAATCTTATCGTTCCAGCCCAGAGAAGCAAAGTTGGAGATGTCGGATCGCCTGTTGTCAAGCTGAGTCGATCCCTTGCAATCCAAGTTGCTTTGAGTTGTTCAAGTTAGTAAACTTTGACGACGCTAGAATGAACCCGCGTTGCGGGAGGAAAGGAAGCACGTACTCGTAGAAGCGGCAAGCAAGCCTTGAGTTGATTCTGGCCGAACTGATTTGGTTACGGGCCCAGGTGGGAAGGTTGTCTACGGAATCTCTTGCGTTAGTCTCTGAGGCAAGGTTATGGGGGAGACGTGGGCCACGTACAGCACTTCTCCAACTGCCAGGTGAGCTCGACCTCTCGGCCACCGTAGTTGATGTGTTCGTACACTAGCATTTTTTGTTAGTAAACAGATGTCTAATGGCAGCCGGGTGGTTATGGATGTAACTCACGTCTAACCTCGGCAGGGTTATACGGCTGGTCACAGATGAAGTTGACGCCCCAGCTCTCTCCGCTCTTGGGGAAGAAGTTGTCGATCCAGTTGCGGTTGATGGGGGCTCTTGTCGCCCTTGGAAGTGCAGAGCGTGCGGCACGACTTGGAGTTGAAGTGAGCGACGCCGTAAGGGGAGCAGGTCTTGGTGATGCCGCCCTGGCACCACACCTGCGCGCCAAAGATGGTAGATCCGCAGATGTCATAGATGCTGCGCCCGACACCGGTGGCCTTGTCCTTGCCGGTGGCCCCGTTCTGCAAATTGACGGCCCCAATGGACCATTCTCGCTGGCAGCCACCGCTCGAGCACGAATATTCCTCGTGGACTCCAAGAGCGAACCCAGAGTTTTGAGCCGCAACGGGAGCGGAGCTGATGATGGCGCCAATGCCGGCGAGGAGGGGAACGAGTGTGAACTTCATGGTGAATGGGCTAAACGAAGGCTTTGTCAACTTGGACGGTTTCTTTGAAAGCGTGGAGCTTAACTTGACAAATGAGGATGGTGGCGGAGGTTGCTCGATCTGTGGAGTGGAAAGAGATGCTGTTCCAAGTCTAACAGTGAAAGAGAGTGGCAACACCGCCGTCTTTTATACTCTTGTGAAATGCGGCCCCCAGGGAGCTTGCCCTCGTATCTCATTGATATCCATCACTGATCGCGACTGTCGCGAACGACATGACCAGGCTCGCTCGTAAAACAGGTTAAGGCGGCCCTGGAGCCATCGCCCCTGGAAATTTAACCTTGTGGCGCAAGGTGATGCAGGAGGATTCGCCTGACTTGCAGCGCCTGCCCAATGGCGTCGTGAAGCACCAGGTTCGCAGGTTCAGCCCTAGCGCTGACTAAAATTACACCCCGGATTTTTCATCGTGGCCCACGCGCCACAGTCAGCTTTTCTCGTACCGCCTTCGGTGGGGGCAATTCCTTCAATGTAACAGAGCCACAAGGCGATGAACGAATCGCACTCGGTAGAAGCAAGGTCGTGGTTTCCCTGCAATGGCGAGCAGGACTCTCTCCCGCCTGAGCAAATTTCGATTAACCACGGGTTAGTTGACCTCGGCTATCCTCGATGCTATCTTTGGTGTCGGATCCTCGCTCGCCACGTTGTGAACCCCCATCCTCAATGCGAAGTTTTGCTGAACGTTGCGCTTCGACCATGTTGAGTCTTGGCGCATTTACTACAGAGCCGACTTTGATTATGTCGTAGTATCGACGCCAAATAACAACGTCAACCGAAAATACTGCAGTTGAAGACCTGGTATTGGGGATAATAGGTAATCGTAGCGATGGTTATCGAGGTGGCTTATGTGTGGCGAGCCATCTGCAATTGGCGCGGAAATTCACCCCGGACAAGATCAAGAAGATTTGAGTTTCTACGCTTCTAAAAAGGGGCGACGATGGAGAGCGGGTAAGGATGGGGCCCCGACTAACCTTATTAGTCCCGGATTACCCCCGAACCTAACCTAAACCGCAATCAGCCCCCTTGAACAGCCCTTAGGTTGCGCCCTGGACGAGGACAGGGTAATAAGGCTTTCATGCGAAGAATTTCCTGTTCCTTGCGATTCGATTCGCGCAGATTTCCATGATCTATACGGTCATGTGCACTTTGATAAGATTCAAGGACTAGTTGATGTCATGGATATGCCCCCCATAGGCCTCGCGACGACGGCGACGGGAACGTGGTGGAGCCTCACGATGAAGAACATCCCCGCTTGCCAAATTTCAAGTCGTTTTCGTTCGCGCACCACATTTCCATGTCGCTTAGGACCGTCATCATTATCGTGTGATGTAACACTAGGGGGCAAGATAATCGGAAGTGCAAAAATATCAGACTCACCATAACTAAGGGTACAGGGGCAATACAGAGAAGTGATTGAGTGGCGAGGTGCTTGCTCTGGTGGACAAGGTGATTTGGCAGTGCCGTTTGTTTGGTCCCCCACTTGCCGGAGTACGAGTACTTGACAAATTTTGGGACAGATGCTTTTGGGTTCGGATGGATGGCAGAAAAAAAGGCAAGTCTCTTTAGATCGCGGTGTCTATCAAGGAAGCGATCCTCATGGATGAAGGGGTACGAGCATAGTTCATGGAGGCGAGCCGCCCCCTTGCCGAGATGAGTCGACCTCAGGATCGGAAGCTACAGGGAGCCGTTCGTATTGCTTATCTCGCAGAGGTTCTAGTGTGATATCTATTATCTCATCATTGCTCATCTTCTAAGCGGCGATTGAATAATCGATCCATCGTGGGACGGCTGCTTAATGGGTCGAGTTAGTCCATCGACTGGAGCTTGACCATGCCAAAATAGCTTGGCCAACTGGGAGCGTCGAAACTATACAAAGTGTAGCTAGAAAGGGGCTGGAAGGTGGCCAAAGAGCTCCGGCAAGTTGCTCAACCGACACCCGATCTCACAAGCCGGTAGAACATTTTGCCACCTGTTCAACGATGCGACACGCCCAGTCCACGGGTCGTAGATCAGGCAAACCCCCTCTACCCTCTAGCGTGATGTGGATAACTCTTGGTAGAGCCCAAAAGGTCTTCGGAATTAAGACAGATGGGGAGGTGAGCATGGGAATACGAGTTGAGTTCTTCTTCGGCTCCCCGAGTCCAATCTTGGCGTCGTCTCACTAACTCCAACCGGGCTCACCGTGCTTGGGTATCTTGCGTGATAAAGGCGAACTTGGCCAAGCCATCGTAACGTCTGCGATATCCGTTATGCACAAGCTACATGCAATTTGGTGCCAAGAGTGCTGATCCGAACACCCGGGCTTCTTGTTGTTGCGTCCAGAGTAACGAATGCTACTGGTGCATCGTCATGAGACTCAGTTTTTTATTCCTTTCACCTCTTCCTTTAGTCTAATTTTAGCAGCCAAGTGTCTCTATGAAACCTACAAACTTTCTGTGAGTTGCGCCGCCTGCATAACTAGAGCTGACCGCATCACGATAAGAATGAAGATCAGGTTTGCATAGAGTGAGACATTCTGTATTCGCGTTGCCGTGGGTTTCTCTCCATCTGTTCTAAGACTGTTCTAGGAAACATCTTAAATTACCAGGGGTTACTCTAAAGCGATCTTGCTGACACTCGTATCCTTTCGTGGGCCGGTGCTAATAACTCATCTTGTGCGAGCGCGTACTTGGAGTGGCACGTAAACTTTACCGACCATGCTGCTAGCCCAGCCGTTTCTGTGAAGCTAGCGGATGGCCTTCACTTCTAACGGGGAATGCTCAGTGGCCAGTCCACTTACGGGAGACCTAGGAGTGGCAATGAAACGAGGCGAGCCCAATGCCAGACAAGCCATGCTGTGCCGAGCATCCTTTGATCAGCGGGAGAGGCTTTTCGGCAGATTTCTCCCGCGTATGGAAAAGGGGGAGGTGAGCCGGGGCTTGGGCTCGTAAATCTATGGTTCCAGTGAGCGAATTTCTACAAAAGTCCCGCTGGGTTGAAATCGAGGCGAGATCCTGGAATAAAACCATCGATGATCATAGGATGTGAGCAGATTTATGCGCGCACTCTGGCACAAGGCCACCGCCCTATCTATGGGGACACAGTCACTGGCTGACCACGGCCCAGCATCTAGCGTGACCCTGGAATCTGTCCTGGCTAGACACTTTCGCTCAAATGGCGGTTTGCCGAAGAAAGAGACTGTCTCCTTAACAGCCGTAACTGTACTGAGTTCGAACCGAGTTCGTACCCCTGAGAACGGATTTTGGAAACTTTCCGGCATTGGTCTCATTTTACCATTGATAGCTTGGTGCTGTAGGCCCCTGTGTGGGTGCATCCGATCCGTGACTGTCCATTTTCTTTGTCAAGACGCTTTCTTTTTCCGGCAGCGTTTTGTTTCGGTTCGAACTTCCCTTGCCACTGTCTTCACAAACGGCAGACGGCAAGGGATTAGTAGCTTATGTGTCTTCCAATCGGGTACGGATACGGATACGATTGCTGTGGCCTGACCGGACCTCGTCAAATCGAATGGAGGGTTTATGAAGCCTAGCATAGGGGAAAAGCGGTTGATCAGACTGTAAATTACGATGCATAAGGGAAGAAAGGTGCCTAGAAAGAACCAGTCTCAATTTAAGTAGGTGTGCGAGGTGAAACTGATCGCGCCTAGTGAATCACCAACATGGTGCTCTAGCCAGTCCAACTACCCACGTTTTGTATAAGTAGATCATGCACTTGCAAGCCACATGCCTAGGAGACCCTTTTCAAGCACTACACAACTCGCATATGAGTTGGAGCTTAGGTTTGCCTATATCCTCCATGACTGTCTTTGGTTAGTGCGTTCTCTATGCTCGCTAACCTTTGAGGGTGATGGGTTCATTGAAGGGAATGGCGACAGAAGTCTAAGCGCTGTAGTGAGGTATCCGGATGAGCACGTGGGAAAGCAAATGGAAGATGTCAGGCGATAGCTAATCGTGTAAGTGTCTAGAACAAGTTAAAATCATGTGGGTGGGAATTCTCCAGGTTAAGTTGATGTTCTAGCATTTGATGTTGGAGCCTGCACTAGGGATAAGCTTGCCTACCACCTGGCGCAGGTACGGGCGGGGCGGTAAGACTTTAAGAGGAAAAAATGGATATAAAACCAAAAATATCACTCATGGATAAGAGAAAGTTGATAGCCCCGCGCTAGTGAAATGAGACGGAGGAGGGTTGGGTTGCTCCCAGGCGTTTATTTATCCATGCCTACTTTCAGACGTTGGCCGTCTAGATTGTCACGACAGCGCTGTGCAAACAATAACACAATTGATGAACCACCGAAGCGCATCGAAAGGTGGATGCGCCATATCTCAATGTGTCAATCGCCAAGAAAAATAAAGACATCGCCTTGGCGCGCCCCGCTCAAAAGGGTCGGCCGTGTCTGAAATAGCCCAGCCCTATAAGGCTAACAAGCCCAAATAGAATCCAGCCCGGTAATCGTGATGCCAAGACGTGAGCCAAGGACCCATCGTCGGCGCTTAGCAAACAACGTTTTCCGGAACGGCGACTCGGGTTCAGCTACTGCAAGGCACACAACGTCCATCTTCTTGTCATTATCGAGACTTTTGATGTTAGAAACAAGGGTGGCTGCTGCGCCACATGCGCCTCAGCCATCTCCCAGGCTTTGCGCATCCTGGATGTAAGCGAGCAGACGCAAGGGCGTTGGGGTACCATAACAAACCGTACCTCGAACGTCCTTATTACTTTTGGCCTTGATAAAATTAATAGGTTGATTGATGCTAGGTTCTGTCATTTTAGAAATAGATCAGCTTCTTGAGCAATTGGGACACGACAAAACCAGACCTGTAGAAGATGGCAATGCTCGATGCTCGTCCAACATGCCGCGAAGAGTCTCCTGGAATAATAACCTCTCATCTTCAGAATCGTATCGATTTATGGCCTGGCTAAGCTTGACTAGCGTGTTTAACCCAGGCTATAGTTGTATCAGGAGCGGCATCGCCATATCTCTACTAACTTTATATATATCCGCTTCGCTCTGGCGGTGACGAGAAGCCGGATAAAGCGGCAAGATGGTGGGCAGCTCGACGGCAGCTTCCAGGGATCAGGCAATGGCCCATTTTACGTGCCAATTGAACCACCAGCGGTCGCGGATTGATCTCCCCTTGCACTTAACGTATATTGAGCGCAATCTCGGTGCATCCCCGCGTTTGTCCCGAAATGGTCGGAATCGGGGGCGCGGGCCGCAACGCAACGAGAACATGTCACGCCTAAATAGATGAAAGCAATTGACCAAAAGCGGGGTCGCGGTAGCTCGTATATATAATCATTGGAATTGAGAGCAGGCGTCTGGAACTTGGAGGGCTTGAGAAAGGATTGTTTTCGTCTCTAACCTCGTTCTGCCTATACGATTCAGCACTCGAAGATCGCGCTCGTCCGAAGAATGATGTCTCCAGCGTCCTTACTCCCACTACTTGGCTTGCTACTAGCCTCTAGAGTAGTAGCCCAAGGTGCCGAGGAACATCCTCTCCTGCCAACGTATAAATGTACCGCCTCCGGATGTGTGCAGCAAAACACGTCGGTGGTGCTCGACCGCGACTCCAAGTTCGCTAGTGGCGCTGCCGGCTCCAGGTCTGCCGCCGACTACGCCGCGATGGGGGTGACGACCTCGGGGGACGCGCTGACAATGTATCACTACGTCAAGGCGGCCAATGGCGCGCTCAACGCCGCTTCGCCGCGCGTGTATCTGCTGAATGACGACGGCAAATACACCATGATGGAGCTCCTCAACCAAGAACTCACCGTCGACGTCGATCTCTCGGCACTACCCTGCGGCGAGAATGGGGCGTTTTATCTGTCGGAGATGGAGCCCGAGGGCCGGGGTGGTGCGGGAGCCGGCAACGGCTACTGCGACGCGCAGTGCCAGGGATACTGCTGCAACGAGATGGACATCCTCGAGGCCAACTCCATGGCGACCGCCTTCACGCCCCATCCGTGCAAGGGTGATAATTGCGACAAGGCGGGGTGCGGGTATAACCCGTACGCGAGCGGCCAGCGCGAATATTGGGGCCCGGGAAAACCGTGGACACGAGCAAGCCGTTTACAGTGATCACGCAGTTCATCGCGAGTGGAGGCAGACTCTCGCAAATCAATCGCAGTTACATCCAAAACGGACAGCAGATTAGTGGCGGCGGATCAATTTCGAACTGTGGCGACGAAGGGTCCACGGGCGGTCTCGCTGGCATGGGCGATGCTCTAGGACGAGGAAGTAAGTATCGATTCCGTACAAGCCCGGGTAGAAAATTACCGCTCCCTCCCTTCAGATATCCGGTTTACTAAACAACATCTCGCAGTGGTTCTGGCGATGAGCATCTGGAACGATGCCGTTCAAAACATGGCTTGGCTCGACTCTGGTGGCAATGGGCCCTGCGGTGCTGGACAGGGAACCCCGTCCAATATTCAGTCGCAGCACCCTGACACCCACGTTACATTCTCCAACATTCGCTGGGGAGACATTGGGTCGACCACTAAGGGTTGAAGTTGATGAGTGCTTGACGAATTCTCATTTCCTGGCTGTATGTGTTGCGATATACAATTATGTGGGCGGTATAAATATTCTAGCTGAAGATCGTAAACATGCAAGGTCGATTGTTCAAACCTGCCTCATTACGGGCTCGGTTCAACTATCGTAGAATGGATGCTGTGACAGCGTGAAGAGCATTTGTCTGTCATCTGCTTGCACGTGCGGATCGCACATCCTGTATGATGTCTCAAAGTTGAGTCCATTTAGTAGAGTCATTCTGATTTTGAGTGAAGAGAACGCTCACTAGCTTCAGAACTGGTAACATTCAAAGGAGATAGGCATGCGAAACAGTAACAGAGTCAATCTATTGATAAATCTAAAACAAAAGAGACAGGAAATCTATTCGTGATTGTACAGATGAAAAGGAAAAAGAAATCATTCCAAGGGCGCTGCCCTTTAAGCTGCGGTGGGCGTGGGCATCGCTCTCTTCATGTTGACAGTGTACGTGACCCTCTCCTCGGGCGGGAATCCTCGCAATTGGTCCCGACGACGACGTTGGATCCGACGAGGGGAAGGTCAGAGTACCGCACTTGGGGGTTGGTCGGCTCGGGAACGGGAGGAACGACGACGGTGGGCTCGGGTTGAGGCTCGGGCTGGGGTTCGGGCTGGGGCTCGGGCTCGGGCTGCGGCTCAGGTTCGGGCTGGGGTTCGGGCTGGGGCTCGGGCTGGGGTTCGGGCTGCTGGTCACCGGGGTTGACCGGGCAGGCTTCCTGCCTCTTTTGGGCGCCGGCGGCAGTGAATGTTTGGCCGGCGAGGGCATCCCACGCGGCCTCGCGAGCCTGAACTCCCCTGTCCTCGATCCAGATGCGCCACCTCGCCTTATCGTTGCAGCCGTGCGAGGGACGGTACTGCAGAAGAGCCTTTCCGCGAGGGTTCGTCTGGTCCTTGTCGCCCAAGATGTCCGCCTTTTGCTGCTGCAGCTCGATCAGCTTGATAAAGTCACCGGTGATCTCGGCGGTGAACATTTGCTCAAGGAAGGCGTTGGGCAAAACGTTGGGCGCGTAGTCGATCACATCAATGGGCACGTTGGCTCCGAACGTGGTGGAGAGATCGGCCATGATGGCGTTGATTCGTGTTCCGTACAGGAATTGCCCCGCGTTGGCCGTGGGATCCTGGCGAATGTTGTCGGGGACGCGCACGAACAAGCCGTCGTTGCCAATGACGAAGGACCCGTCGGGGTTGGTCTGGAAGAGATCCACACGCGGACGGGGTGTGATGATGAAAACGTGAACGTCCGGGTCATCGTTTGGCTGCGTGTTGTCGCCGAGGATGATGCCGCGGGGCTTGTCGTTGGCCAAGTTTCGCAGCTCGTCGATGCCAAAGGGGTGGAACTCGGTGCCGGCTCCGCGATGGATCTGGTTGATGGCCTGCTCTTGGAAGGTGGTGCTGTCCGGGAAGAAGTTGGGCTCCCAGATGTGGCTGGCAAAGGCGCCTCGCTGCGAGACAACGATGATGGAGGTGCAGCCGTACAAGCCGCCAATCGTGATCTGGTCAACCTGGTCGCCAAACGTGATGAAGTTGGAGGTCGTGATGTCGCCCATTTCCGGGGTGGGGAACTTGACAATCTTGCCCACGGTGTCGATGAAACCCTCGCTGCCGTAGTAGGTGAAGAAGACTTCGCCAGCTACGAGGCCGCCCTCGCTCCCGCTGTAGTCCTCGGGGCCCGGCCACTCTCCCTCATCGGGTTCGCCGCGCCTGGCCAGGGAAGGGAGCGTCGCGTTGTCCACGTCTCTCTTCTTCTGCACGGAGCATGCTCCGTTGGCGCAGCCCCGACGTCGCAAGCGGGGTGCGTTTGCGCGGGCAGCGTAGCTGTAGTAGTGGTGGTGGTAGTGGTGGCCGAGTTCTGGACATTGCAGTCCGTAACCATGCTGTAAGTCAGGCTCGAGCAACCTTGGGTGGGCTCTTGGCGGGCCTGGAGGACAGCTAGAGGATTTGCGTTAGCGTTTTTCATAACGTGTATAGAACCCTTTCTCTCAAAACCAGATACTTACTCGTTGTGACGGTGCAGAAGACGCTGACATAGGTAGCCGTGAGGGTTTCGGTGCACGATGGCTCCTCAGGTTCCTCCTTCTCGGGCTCCTCCTTTTCGGGTTCTTCCTTCTCAGGTTCCTCATTCTCCGGCTGGTTTTCGTTCTTCGGGGGACACTTTCCGATCTTGGCGCCAAAGAGCTCGATGCAGAACTCTGGGACATCAATCTTGATATTGGGGGAATGACGGGAAGCAGCCGAAGCAGACAATGGGGGTCCAGAGAATGGGATGATGACTAGAGTCCTGTTAGCAAAAGCCTCTGGTCGGGAAACGGCGTCAATAGCACTTACTGGGGACAATGGTTTCCTCGTCACTTCCCTCTCGAACGGTAGTGATGTACTCGGGCTCGGTTTGGGTAGCATCCGTCAGCGTAACGATTTCAGCCTCTGGCGGAACTTCCGTCACTGTCGGGGGCGGGGGCGGCGCGTCGGTGATTGGGGAGGCTGCTGCTGGTCAGGGTTATCGGTAATTATCGGCGGTGGCACCTCATTGCCGTCGGTGGGCGTGGGCTCCGCGGCGCCGGGGTCCTGATGATGGTCTCTCCGATCGAGCTGCAGAGCCCAAGCTGGACTTGGCGTAGGAACTGGCAGACAAATGTTTCTGCGGCTTCTTGGCGGACCTCTAGGCCATTACCGGGGCACCATCTCTGGCACCTAGGGCAAGGCCGACGGCCGACAAGAGAGCAAAGGCGCGCATGGTGGGCGCTCAATAGCAGCCTTGATTCGAGGAAGCCCCGTATACGAGGAAACAGGGTAGAAGGAAAGCTTCTAGGGATTGTAAACCTCAAAGTGATGGATGAGTGAAGTGGATGGTCAGCTTGTAGAAGCGGTTATGAGATTGTTGAATGACACGAGGAGCCAAGATATATCCAGCACAAGGGCAGGAGATGGATTTGATTTTATAGACGATGTCTGCTTTTACTGCTACGCCTATAATAGATCTTGATTTATCTTTGGCACATTGCTTTATCGCCGATGGTCCCGGACGGATACAGACATCGAGATGGTAAGAAGGCTCATCGCCTCCCCGAGGCTCAGATGCTGGGGCCGAAAAAAACAGCTAGATCCTACACGCAGTCTATCGCGTCAAGGCGGATGCCAATCTTACATACATGTCACAGCTTTTCACCGTGCCTCATCGCGCGTACACGCTCTCAAAATTGTTTTCCGTCGGGACATTGGGATGGTTGCACAGATCTGCGCCACGACCTGCATACTGCCGGCGGCTACGGAACTGTCAATTCAATGTGGTTGGAGCGCCGTTGAAGAACAGGGCGCAGAGCGTGTGGGGTTAAACTTGGGGTTGGTACAGCCCCGATCTCACAGGGGCGGACCATGAAACACCCGCAATCGGTAAGCTGACGGATCCGGCTAAAATGTATATTTAGGGCACCACCACCTCGGACACCCGCGCATCCGAAAACCTCGCCTTCTATTCTTCTTCTGCCACTTAGTCGGGAGGCCAGAAGGATGCAGGACAGACCACACCAAAGGGCTAGACTCTGACATGTACCCCATCTCCATTCCAACTACGCCATGACTTAGACCCTGATTTCAAAGCGAAGATAGGGTCTAGGATCGAGATGGGTCTGATGCTAAGGTCTTAGTGCAGATATCGTTTTAGAAATTACCCATATTCTAGGATTAACCCACCATCCACTTCAACTTATCCCTAATCATTGGTTTGGTTTGCCGCGGCGCTTCCAAGGTTGCTTACAGGCCCGCTAGGTGCATTGTGGTCACGCCGGATCGCCAACATGTAAATTTAATCGACGCCACACTTGAAATCGTCATCTGGAATCGGATTTCAGCAAGACAGCCAATCGGTGTGGCGCCACGATAAAAACCATGCTTTATACGCCATGAGGTTGAAGTCGGAGCGAGATAACACGGGACCCTGTCGTATAGCTAAGAATGCTTGAATACTTTGAAGGCGTTTGCTTCCTCACTACAAACCGGAAGGATCAGTTTGACGAGGCATTTATGAGTCGAATCGAGATCAAGATTCAATTTCGAGATCTAAACGGGGCATCGCGTATCCATATCTGGGGGCGATGCTTGAAAATAACAAGGCGGTGGTGAATAGAGAATCGTGGAATACAGAGGTCTTAAAGATTCTCGCCAAACTCGACATAAGGCATGTTTCCACCCCAACCTCCTTGGCACTTCATCCTTCCTATACTTACACGATGTAGCATTATACCTCCTGATCGGCGTATCTATGGTAGGGTCGGGTTATCAAAAATCTGCTACAGATGGCTTCGCTCCTAGCGCGCTCTATGGAGAGTTGTTGTCTCCTTGGCATGTGTATAGCCTTATACAGGTCGAGTTGGAGGAAGAGGAAAAGATAGAAGTTACTAGAGATTTAACTCTTCTTTGATAAATAGCGTTTAGATTATAGAACAATGTATAGGTTGATTATGATGCGAAATCATTCCTAGCTAGTACAGACATATCGCCAGAAACAATAATTTGATCCTAATTATTTGTTCAGTTGCCATAGCTCTGTAGAGTTAACGGGTGAGACCCCAAATGCCCTGTTGAAACGCGCTGTCGCTAATACCTCTCCTCGCATCCCGGAACCTTGCGGATCGCAACCCCTCTTCGGAATCCTTCGAGAAGTGGCGCATCAAAAATCAGGTGATGCTTGAATCGCACACCTCCAGCATGGCAGATCGCTAACTAGCAAAGAATGGAGTTTTTGAAAGAACATCATCGTTTCCTAGACTTTGCAAAATTCGGGCCCACACTTTTCGTTGAAGTTAAATTTACCTTCAAAACCAGCACAATGACAGAAATGCTCTGCAATGGCGGAGGTGTTGTTGATGGTGATCGAGGCACCATACTTCTCGTTGTAGGAACTGGAGGATTTACCCACGCAGGTATGTAATAGTAGCGCGCACCAAATTGTGAATTCTGTAGTAATGACCATCGATACAGCTCCCATCCTTGAGCTAGGCCGCATCCTTGCCAGGCGAGGACTTCGCATCGAGTTCGCCACGCACAAAGGACAGCAAGCGTGGGTGGAAGACCCATCATATGAGTTCGTCTCTCGCGTCTATACTATGGGGAACCCAATGGACCCGGATTTCGAGGAGGCGCACTACCTACAAATGCAAGATTCGGACCCGAGAAGGGACTACCGGGAATACTTTGCCCCAAAGTTCCGGGTAGATGCCTTCTGGGCCTCGGACTATCCATTTTTAACGGAGATTGTTGACGTTTGCAAGCCCGATATGATTGTGGCGGACTTCTTCGTTGACGCTGTCCGGGACATCCAATACCAAACCGGCATTCCCGTAGCCATGCTATGGCCTCAAATGCCATATGGCATGGCGAGCGTCTCCTACATACCGGGAATGGCAGGATTCCAGATTGACGCCCTTACCAGCGAGCACGCCTCATTGTGGACTAGACTGCGGGCAGCGCTGCGACCTCTGAGAGCGCTGCCGGCCATCCTTCCGTATCTCAAGTTCGTCCGTACCATGCGGCGCGGCGCCGGGGTTCATTATTCCCTCCCGGTATTGAGCAAGCCAAACTACCTGGCCCTTGTGAACTCGTTTTGGGGCCTGGAAACACCAAAGGAACTACCGCCCCTGATTGCTCCCGTGGGGCCCATCCTCTCCGACACGTTTCCACCGATGGATGAGGCGCTGGCTGCATTTTACGCGGGCCACAAACGCGTGGTTTATGTCTCTTTCGGTACACACGTGCGATTGCCTACCAGCATCGTGGAGGTGTTTCTCCAGTGCCTATCCATGCTTATGGAGGAAGAGCTCATCGACGGTGTGGTCTGGGCGGCCAGCGAGGCGCAATGCAATTTATTTCCACAGCGTGAAACTTTTGGGGCTGCAAATCTTTCCACGAAGGAGATGCTGCGCAATGCCGACCCTCATTGGTACTTTCTACCATTTGCGCCGCAGAGAGCCATCCTGGACAGAAAAGAAACTGCCCTGTTCGTGACCCACGGGGGTGGGGGAGCGTCAACGAAGGCTGCTTCCACGGCCGGCCCATGCTCATTCTACCCTTCTTCTTTGACCAACCCTTGAATGCCCTGCGGTTGCAAGAAGCTGGCGTAGGCCTGGCGCTGGACAAGGCGGACATCTCTCTCGCTCAAACTTACCCCAAAGCCCGCATTATCTTGCAAGATGCTCAAGGCACTTTTGCTCAGAACAGTAAACGCATGCGGCACATTGCACGCGTGGCATCGCGGAGAAAGGAACTGGGTGCGGACCTAATTGAAGAAATGCTATACGACCACCGATTTAGCTTGCTCGCCCCACACGAGCCCGGCGCCGGTGGGGCCGGTCGAAGGGGCCGGCCGATGCATCTGCAAACGGCGGATGCGAGGATGTCGGCTTGGCGGGCGCAGAATTGGGACTTGGCATTGTGGGGAACGTGCACACTGGCAGGGTTAGGATGGCTAAGTTATGCTGCAATTCGGAGAGTTATGTCGGGCCTTCAATCCCAGACGCATTTGGTCAAATGAGTGTATGAAATAAGGGTGCAAGCTTCCGATGTCTCGACCCTCACCCCTTTAGGGGCTTCTTCTTCGTCTAATGCAACTTTTTCCGTCCTCTGCTTCTCTGTGCACATGCTAGAGGACCATCACGTGTATCCGGGCACGTTGCGTATCTCGGATAGTCGACGTAGACCAGGGGTTCATCTCTCCTCACGCGGCTTGCAGTAGCGTAGTTATTCTGCCACTGGCTTGTTTAGAGATACGATCTCCAATGTGGAAAATCGGGCGAATGACACGCCGAACACGTGCAGCTGACTGTGAGATGGTACGCATAGCTGAGGGTGAGACGCCAACTCCAAATTTTGACGGGCAACGATAGACCAATCGCAAATCTTTCTTGGTAGTGCTGATGGGTTTTGTGAGATTACGACGGGTAACCGGCACCCAGGATCAGATATAAAGGCCCCCAGAGGTCGCAATGGGAATTGCATGCGGCTCACCTCGACGAAACCCCTTCGACGATCTCACCAGCCACGCGGATCCGTGAAAGGTCATGCCACCACTCCAGAATAAATCGATACTAATTTCCGGCGCCGGCATAGCTGGGCCGGCCCTCGCCCATTGGTTGTTGAAATATGGCTTCACGGTCACCGTCGTCGAGCGATCGCCCGGAATCCGTTCTGGCGGCCAAGCGATTGATTTCAAGGGCGCGGTCCACGACACCGTAATAAGCCGCATGGGCATCAAGGACACAGTCTACGCGAACCAGACGGGGGGACGGATCTCCCGATAGTCAACAGCGAAGGGACTCTGCAGACGGTCATGGCCGCCACCTTCACCGGCGGGGATGTGGAAATTCGGCGAGGGGACCTCGGAAGGATTTTATACGACTTGAGCGCTTCAGAATGCGAGTACAGATTCGGCAAGTCCATCACCGCCCTCGAGGAATCGGAAGATGGCGTGCAAGTGTCGTTTCGAAGCGGGGCGACGCAACGGTTCGACCTCGTCGTCGGCGCGGACGGGATGCATTCAAATACGAGAAGGCTCATCTTTGGCCCCGAAGCCAGCTATGTCAAGAACACGGGCTGGTTCTATGCCTTAGCGGACCTGGAAAACCCCGGCGGGCCATGGATGTACAACGAGCCGGGTCGAATGGCGTCCATCGGAGGGCCCAAGGCTCCCGCTTTCTTTGTTTTCCAGTGCGACGAGGAGGGTTTAAGCAGCGCAACCCCTGAAAAGCAGAGGGAAACCCTCGTCTCCATCTACCGCGATGGCGGGTTCAAAGTACCCGAGCTCCTGTCGGCTCTGCCCAACGCCGGCGAATTTTACATGGACTCCATTAGTCGGGTTGACATGAAGGACTTTACCAAGGGCCGGGTCGTCTTGCTGGGTGACTCGGCCTACGGAAACACCCTCGGCGGGTTCGGAACCGGACTCGCCGTCGTCGGAGCCTACGTCTTGGCGGGCGAGCTTGCGTTGGCCGGTGGTGATCACGAGGCGGCTTTTGCAAAGTATCAGGTGGCTATGAAGCGGTACTCGAGCGGCGGGAACCATAGTAACGCCGGGAGATTCCTAGCCCCCGAACCAACCGGGGCATCCGGCTGCGGAATCTCTTCTTCAAATATAGCTTCTTATTTAGCGCACTAGAAAAGCTCACGGATAGGTTTGCGACGGATATCGAGCTCAAGGACTACGAGAAATTGATCGGCATATAGAGCAATACATATTCCATATTCCATGGCCCCTGATGTATCCGGGTGGGTTATCTGATCTTGAACTATCTCTACGTCTCGAGGTGGTGCTCGGAGAATAAGACCTTCCCCCGGGTGAACAGACACGCACGATAACTCCAGAATGGGTCAGCCGTAGCTCAAGTTATCAAGCGGGCTGGAAGAGGGCAACAATGGACTTGACCGGGTTTGGCGAGGCCCCGTCACACCGTCAGGAACAAAAGAGGTCGGAAGTCCCCTTAAAGGCCAAGCCTACAAAGGGTTAGGTCAGGCAGGACAACGCTAGCTCCGGCCAGTACGCTGAGAGATCATACTCCGTCTTTGTACCCATGTGGTACCCCCTGATGTCGCCCGCGGCCTCCACGGGAAACAGCCAGAACCCAATCGCGGGTCGCACGGCCTTGGAAAGCTCTTCAGGCCCCTCGATGGGAGGATCTTTTTCTCAAACCGCCGCACTATAAACCACCGGGACCGCTGGTTGCTGAGCCACCCGGTCTCCTCTTCCTGCAGCGCGCGTTGTGCCGTCGCCACATCCCAGATCATACCATGACTAGCAGCTTCTCGGAAGGCGTAGAGGGCGCGCTGCCTCGCTGGTTGCGCCGGGTGCGCCTGCCACATGTCCAGCAGCATCGACCACCCCACCCGCCCGGACCGCGGGTCGGGAGCCCTCGTAAGGACGTACCGGAGCTCGGGACCGACGGGGCGCGGATCCCGCTTCAGGAGTTCAAAGCGGGGGTATGGCCCATGACAGGCAAAGAGTGGTTGAATTTGACGCCAATCTTTTCATTATCAAATCCTTGGTACGGCATCATTGTCCGGCCAAAGCTGGAGTAGGTGACCCAGATGATTTCGCGGATCCCCGACAGAAAGCTCACAAAGGCGGCCTTGACATGAGGATCGGTAATATCGCGCGCGTGGCGGCTGAAGGTCTCTACCCTGCTGGAGCGGAGGCCGACGTTGACGAGCCCGACATGCCGCGGATCGTGGGCGCGGAGGTCGTGGCTAAAGGCGGCCACATCAGCGACGTCCCCTTGCCCTCGCATAGCACGATGAAGTCGTACTCGGGATTGAAGTAGAGCATGCCCTTGACTTTATCCTGGTATTCGTCCGCATACCTCTGGAAGGAACACGGCAAATGGACACGGTAGAAGGAGAGAGCTGCTCGTCGCGACTCCCGGCTCACGCGTAGGAGCTTGCTATGTATTCGGAGGCCGAGGACTATGGCATCGTACCCTTGACCGCTCACCACCTTGCCGAGGTGGTTGGTGGTTGACCAAGGACGCGTTACTACGGGCGGCTGCACGGGTTGATCGTCCCGTGACGGACGCCAGTGGCTACGTGGATTGTCCGGCGACAAATGCCGAGGTCCACGCCCTTGCCGGTGCCGATTGGCTTGCGACAGACGCCTGGGTCTGCGCCGTTCGGTTGGTTGATTGTCTGGTGCCCAGGGGTCGACTTGCACCTCGAGAAGACGGTGCTCTTTTAGGTACGCCTGCCAGATGGCGATGCGGAGGTCCGGCGGGAGCTTGGGGAATTTGGGGAACGAGACGTCCTCTGCGTAGTAGTAGGACGTATTGACGATTCGGAGATGCGGCGGAGGAGCTAGAGGCATGCTGGTGCAAGGCGAGGCAAGATCGGAATATTCACGTGTGGCGGGGTGGGACGAACACGGCGTCGGATCTTTGGAGCGGGGAATGTGGCCCTGTTATATGTGATAAATGCCCTCGAGAGCCGTGCTACTCTCTGACGCAAAAAAAGGTTTCAAGGGAGAAGAGGATGTTGGCCCCCAACACAAACCCCCGAATATCTCTCCCAACATCGCCCCTCGCAGCAAACCGCGGTAACCCCGAGGTTTTAATTGGGCGCATCTAGTGCATGATGATCTAGGGCCACAAGTGGCTGTGGCCAGTTTCGGCCCCCTTTTTCAAAGTTGTTTGTTTTTTCACATCCACGACACTGCGCCACCAAGACCTTGGTACCTACGATAGAAGAACCAGCAGCGAGCACAGCTCAGACCCTATTCGAAAGCGATAGTGACCGATTAATAAGACAGTATAAGACTTGAATCCAAGTAGACGATGGGTATTGGACATATGAATTCTATTAACGACATAGTGCCCCTGCAGAGTGGCCCGTACCCGGCCACCACGACCGATTGGAAATCCCCTCATTTGATCTTGAAAGCTGACAGCGCCTATCCACTATTCGATAACCGAAGAAACGAGACCGAGGAACGCAGGGGAAAAAAGGGAAAAGAAAAGGGGAAAAAAAAAAGGAAAAAGAGAAACAGAATCGCAAGAAAAGGGGGTTGTATCAGACCACGATCATTTCAGGGCTCCATGTAGACCGCACAGTTTGGGAAAACCGTAATAGTGCCATCCTGTCCAAAAGGATGATACTCGCGACGAGCTACTCCGCAGCCCACCAGCCGCTGCAAAGCAGCCCAAATGGACGCGTACATTACCTCCAGGGGCTCTACATAGTTCATGAGCTCGGGATACTCTAGAACTTCAGGCGACGTGGGCCTGGTGTCCACCGTGTACAGCCACCCGCGTAAATCCGTCATTCCGTCGGCCTCAACCGCATTGATCAACCCGTTGAAGGCCTTCCGGACCTTTAAGAAACCATCTTCTTCGCCCCCTAGGCTCATGTGCATCAAGTAGCCTCTGTAATTGTTGGAGTTTCTGGGCTTTCCCACGAGGACAACGCCCGGGCACGTGCCAAAGCTTTGCGACCATACGGCCTCTTGGCCGATCTGGGTGTACTTCATCCCCTTCGGGGCGACCTCGCCGTCGCGGGCTAGGATGATTACGCGCGGCTCCAGCTCGCCATTCCCGGCACCCCTCTTGGCAGGCTGCCCAGGCCGGGTCCATGCCGAGTTGCAGAACTGGGCGATCAGCTCGACGGCCTGCCCAGATGGTGGCTGGAGGAGGTCGAGTATGCCGAGATCGATGGCGCGTCTAGTGCTCCCGCGGTTATTCGCCCCGTTGGTGCTCCTCGCCGCGCAGGCATCCTCTGTGGTGGAAGACGCGCTAGTGCTGGTGCTGGCGCCGGTGGCCGACGTCTTGTCGGCCTCGGAAGGGTTGGACGTGGGGCTGGGAGCGTCGACCGTACTTGGTTTGTCGTTGGGCCCCTTCTCCTTGGGGGCGGGTCCGGCTTCGGATCCGGCTTCTTGCAGGCGGCCTTGTTTTTGCGCAGACACCCGACGCTGGTAGCTGTCGAGTCCGGCGCGTCCTTGAGAACGCCAAACACCATGCCTAGGAGGTCAAAATTCCAGTCCGGCAGGTTGCACGTCTTGCCCACCCAGCCTCCAAAGAAGTCGGCCGCCTCGCCGCCGTTCTCAAGAAAGGTCTTGGCGGCTTGCACGGCCAGCCTGACCCCGTCGCTCGCAATCTTGGCCTCAAACCCCCGGGGATCGCGAGGATCCCCGTCTGGATGATGGTATCAAAGGCTGACAGGCAGACGGCGCAAAAGACCTCGTCCATCTGCTGGAGGGCTTCGATGACGATATCTGAAATGACCTCGGCCACCTCCCCGATGCCGTCGCAGATGCATACGCCCGGTGTAAAATCATTCCCGTCGTCGTCTTGCCAGTCAATGCTTTGGTCCAAGTCCTCCTTTCTCTCTACAGGTCCATCTTTTTCTCCACATCTTTGCAATACTTGACGCAAGGTCGCGCGCTCCTTTCCGGGTCGAGAAGCTCAAAGTACGAAAAGCACGATCCGGTTGTCTCCCATGCTGCTATGGTTTGGTAATCAGGCTGTCGATCACGACGCACAATCGATCCGGCGTCAACAGGGATGGTGTAAGCAAGGGTAGAGGTGGCGCTCAGCGCCAAAAGAGAGAACTCCGTGAAAAGTTTCATTGTCAATCAAGATAGGAGTGCTGGCTCTCAAGGCAGGAGACGTCGAGCTAGTATCTGCCAGGCGTAGTATCCGAAAGTTCAGTGAGACGACGAGATGATCGGGTACGGTCGCCCTTTTCTACTTCTAAATAGCGATAGTATCTTGATTTCACCTATAATACAGCGTCTTCTTGAACCATCATACTTCTGTCCCTAACATCATCCTACCTCATATGAATCTAGACTCTCTGGGGCCTCCTCGCTGAACGGCCCCTAGCGATGGTGATACCCTCCCACGGACCTAAAAAAAAAAAAAAAGAAAAAGCTTACCAACAGACATTGTCATGCCCGGATGCTAAAAATCAATCCTTCTCATGTTGGGGCTATACGATATCATGTGTTGGTGTTTCAGTATTTTCGAGGCGGCGGAGGGGGCGACCGGAGCTACGAGGAACCGGTGGTCGAGATGTTTAAAAACGGATCTCGGGGGCGCGGCGAATGCGGAGGGGTGGCTATGCCTCCCTTCCTGTAGAGATGTTGTTGGTGTATATGCATGTTGGTTGGGAAATTCTAGGGAGGGGCCGAGGTGTCAAAAATAATATAGTCAACGTGCGTTCACTGCGGCATGTCTCGCCTGGATTTTAACCGCATTCCCGGAGTTGGGCACTTCCCTTGGCCATGCCCTCACGGCGCACCCAACGTGTATTCAAGGTAGGAATGAGACATGAATTAGGCGTAGAAGCCACACACACATCTACCACCGATGATGGTTTGGGTGTAAGTGATTACAGCAGCCTTGATAGCATATAGTAGAACAAGGTATGACTCGAAATAGACATCGGGATCAGTACGCACTGCCGCAGACTCACTTTCGGTGGCCGGCTCTCGCCAAGGGAGGAGAGCGGCCCCACTCGGCGTATGCCAATATTAAGAATGACCCATCACGAGACATCAGGGCAAGGCAACTAGCCAAGGTAAAGGCCATTACGACTAAAACGGTACTGACTTTCCAAGGGATCATGGTCCTCGTCTACGTAACGTAGTAGGTGTAACCACCTTCGGTGCTTTTCCCTACCGCTATCCGAGAGCTCGCTTCGCCCCCAAACTCCCTATACATATCCTCGAGCTTCTCTACGGGGCGGAGCGCGCGCTCTGACTCGAATAGCAACGCTGTCATGCTGGCAATGCTTAACCGCTCCACGGCCTCCTTGGTCTCGTGGTCTCTCCCCGCAACAATGGCTACAGCCGCCAGAACCAACCCTACCGCTACGTACAAGAAGTTGGCAACCACCAAGGAAAGCAAAGGCGCCAGTGGTACTCTAGCTACGAGCAAGGGGGTGCGTTCACGAGCGGAAAAGGCAGGGACGGTGCGTAGACCGGTAACAGCCATTGCTATCGCTGTGCTGTCGTACTCAATAGCCCATTTGGCGAGCATTTCATCCATGGAACCGCTTGCGCCGGCAGCGGAGAAGGCGTGTTGGAGCCGCAAGTCTGCGCCGGCGGTCAATCGGATCGGCCCAGATAGAGCGTTGAACGCCGACCGATTCGTCGGTTTCGCATCAAAGTAGACGACGGAGTCATTCTTCGTTTCATAAACCACGTCAAACATGGTGGTGCGGCACTGAAAGACCATGCCGTAGTCCGCTCGGCCCGTCTGCATCACGGCCGAGCTCTCCACCGCGTTTTCCGGCAGCGGCCAATCGCCGGGAAGATACACGGCTGCAATGTACTGGACCGGGTTCGGAACCCCTTCGTAATAGATGGAACGGTCGTTCGTGTCGTAGTAGCCCACTTGCCACCAATCTTCGGCGAGGTTGCCGCCGAAAAAGCCAAAGTCGTCGACGCCGCTACAGTTAAATGGCCACATAGAGTTGGTGGAAGCCACGAGGCCGCATTCCTTCGTCAACGTCCTACACTCATCGGTGCTCATTGCGTAGGTATACGCTGTATAGTCCTGTACCACGTTTATCGGCGTGTCGGCTGGAGCGAGGTAAGCGTAATACCGCCCGTCCTGACGATGCCGCTTTGCTATGACATGGTCAGATGCGTTATTCAACACAAGGCCAGGGCTGGGGCTCCCTTCATATGACATCAGATAGGCCTTCGCCGCAGCGCTGTTGATGGTGCAAACACCCGCCTCGCCTGTATTAGTACTATCAAGGCACTCGTCTACAAGGGCTAGGCTTAGGTTTGCCCCAGGGCTAGACGCGTATCGGATAATGTTTTCCGAGGTAGTGGCGATATGCAGCCAGGTGTCGGTGGCGAAGATGAAGAGACTAATCGGGTTAAGAATTAGAGAAAGTGCTGTGTAAGGGGTATGGGAAATTATCTCCCGCGTTCGAAGGTAGATGCACGGGTCCAACCACACCAGGTATCAGGCACCGTAGAAATAGCAAAGATGGAATTCTACCAACTCGATCTTACCTGAGGCTGGTATTGATACAAAACGCAACGGACATGATGAGTAATGGTGGTGGAAACCTGGCGCGAACTCGCTTATACGATGTGAGGTAGACGCACGTGTCCACGATGACACGGAAAAACGCCCCAGATCGGTACTGGAGCATCATCGCGAATTGGTAAGGGGTTGGCAGAGCCTCCGCACGACTCTCTCGGTATCCTCGAACCATGTGAGCCGCCGCGGGATAGCTCGCTAGGAGGATCATGAATCCCGCAAGCAGAGGCGATACGGTGCTTGACCATGACGCGATGGTCGTGAAAAGCGTCGCGCTGATATCGAGATACACGGCGCCTCGTGAAAGTGTCTCAGCAGAGCTTTCCGGAATCCGATATAGGAAGACGATACTGAGAAGCGTTATGTTGCAAATGAGGAGTGGCAGCGTAAGCATGAGGGTTCCCGTGACGATGTCGAACATTTGGCCTTGTATCCGCGTGGGCGGTGATGCGGGCAGAGGAGTATCCCCGGCTGCTGCTACAGGCTTTCTCCGGATTTTTCTCTCGGAAGTTTCATCATGTTTACCCTCCATCGCTTAAGAAGAGTAACTTGAACTACCATTCCGATTGTTCAGAGTGTCCGGATTCCATACATAGGTACGGATGTGTGACTGTGCTCCGTCAGTATGGCAGGCAAGTTGAGCCTGTCATCTTGATTTGGGCCGTGGAGCGTAGATAAATAAAGGAGGCGATACGTGAGTTCGCCTTGGAGCACCAAGTGCTGCCCAGCAAGAGAGGGGAGCGCACCGACCGATGCATGCGCACGAATGTGTGCCAAGCCAATACATTCAGCCCTCGCGAATGTCGAAGACATATGATTAGTTGCCAAGACGAGGGCAATGATGCCAAGGTATGCGCTACGCCTTATAAAGTCCAGCTCGATTATACCTGCCTATTATCTTGCAAAGTCCCCGAGCGGTATAACCCCGCCCCCTCTCCCATTTATTCTGATTCTTTCTGCTACGCCGCCGTTATTCCCCGAGTGCCTCATCCTCGAGCGATCCACTTACATCTCCATGTCCAGCGCTAGAGTATACAAATCCATTACCACCACCGTCGTTATACAATGGGACAGTGGCCAAACCCGCTCTACCGAGGCCGTCATCCGCCCACTCACCACGGTATGGTCTGCCGCGCCTGGTTGTCCGACAACACTCGATAGTTTGGCCACTGGACTTTGCGTCCCGCCCCAATGGGATGAGGTCTGGTTTCGCGGCGCATACTACTCCCCTGGGATTTGCCCCAGTGGATATACGGCGGGATGCTACGCATTCGACCCAGAATTCGCGGGCGTAAAACAAACAAGACAGGTACCGGAGTTAACACCAAAGGCGGATGAGACGGCCGTTATTTGTGTGCCACTGTGAGTAGACTCTGGAGCTTCGACACGTCATGTCGATAAGTCCCTTTTGGCGGGGCTTTATTGGTATAGGCGATGATCTGTGGTTTTTGTGTCCAAGCGGCCTGGTGAGAGGGCTTCAAAGCTGAGCCAAATTCACTACAATGCGCGGTTGAGCTAACTACAACACCATAGAGGATTCGAGTGTTATTCGAGCTGGACATTGTTCGCCGTTTCCTACTCGGACGGCTACCCTTATTCTCGTATACCCGCCATCGACGTGCGATGGAAGGAATCCGATATCCCCTTCCTCGAGACATCGCCTCAGACGCCTCGAGCCGTTCAACTTCCAACATCCACACACGTCTCTGAACCAACGTGGGAAGCCCCAGAAACGCCCACTTTAGGCCCTAACGGTGGCTTTGATACGTCACCTCGAGCTGTGTCTGGCTTGAGTTCGGGACAAAAGGCGGGGATAGCGGTTGGTGCCGTGCTTGGGGTCGCCTGCATTGCTAGCCTCCTCGGCTGGGCCATTTGGCGAAGACGCCGCGCACCGCCCCTGCCTGCCCAGCCAGTAGTTGGACAGCCCACGATCGAGTTCAAACCTGTAGCTGTGAGGTTCGGGAGTAGCGGACCATAGGCTAGTCAGTCCTACCATATCGGCTGGGGAAAAGATCTATGAATGTTAATTGTTCTGCGTTGAAGCCCGACATAGACCGGTACCTAGTTGCATCGTGGCCGCGTAACTAAAGGATGTTCGAAGTGAATGTTCTTATGAGTTTCAATTGTTATTGGCGCCCAGGAGTACATTGCGGGAATACCTGGCATCTTAGGACTATGGGAGGTGTAAGCCATCAGACGAAGAAATAGGCGCGTCATTCCTGTAACCACTGTAAAACAACGTATAGTCTCGCTTCTATCGGGTATGCGCATTTCATCACGCTCGAGGCAACCAATTCACGTCACTCCAAAACCTTTCTCACACGCTTGGCCACTTGCCCTACTTCACCTCCATGAGCCAGTCCCGAAATGAAATGCTGGTGCCCTCGATATACATAATGCCATTCCTCAGACCATTTCACTCTCGCTCTGGCATCTGGACATGCGCATGCCAAGGTCCGACTCCTCGCCATGGCAAACCCGAACTTCTGACACGATGGCATAGATGACCGATGCTTCGCGAATATCGGGTTTTTCTTTTTCGAAAGGGGCAACTTTACACATCGGCGAGCGCTTCAAGCAATTCTTAAACCTCAAGGTTCCCTATGTATGGTTCGCATCGCGTCCCTAAGCTATCGTCTAATAAGCGTCGACAAGGCCCACAACCAACCCACCCTTGCTGACTTCGCGTTCCCCGCCTTTTCTATCCATTGCGGGGCCTCCGGAGCCGGCCGTGCCCTACGGCGTCGACGGTCTAGGCTCCACCCATCCGTTGGGTTATTATCACAGGAAGCGGGATCCGAGACCATTTACCATCACTTCGTGCACTCACGTTTGCAACATTATAATATGTTGCCCAGCAAAGTTCAGTGCGAGTATCTCTCTTAGGACCAAGGCGGCTATAACTAAGTTTTCCTATCTTACCACGCTCTATCTAATGTCGGCGACTGACGGGTTGTGATCCGGTGGAGTTGGCGGCTCTAAACTAGAACGGAGGCTCTGGCTAAGCTCTGGGGTTCGCTCAGCAAATGATAAACGTTATTAAGATCCCGCACTTGACGTCATATCAGCTCCCAACAGGTTCGATGCATGGCGTTAATGTTCTAGCGACCGCAAGTCTATCGTTATCTCTCTCGAGCCAGCTACCGACTGTACTTAAGATATGCCGCTATAACTCCCGTGTTGAACCCATCAAATGGTTGGCCAACGTTATCAGCCCGGCTTGCAGATGGACTTGTGTTGCTAGCGTTCCCCTCGATGATCATATTGGCGTTGTTAATGACGCTAAAGCCATATATAAACATTTTCGAGTTATCATGGTATAGCGCTGTATTGTCTTGGCAGTCGGTGCTACACATCGTACGCTGAGGTCCAGAAACGAAGTTCCAAAAGCTTGAGCTATAAATATTCAGATTCGTAGAGTTTCGAATAATTTGGTAAAGACCCATACGACACTAGTTCTCGACGTTAGTCTCCTGTTGTCGGACTCAGGGCACATAATGCAAGTAAGCTATACCTGGGCGTCTGCTGGATCACACCAGCTAAAATCCGGGTCGCTCTCGAGAAGCGAGTCTGACCAAGGCTTCGGAGCTAGTAGCGTGTTTCCGTTGCCTTGCCAGTAGGCAGACTCGCCTTCCTGGAGCCCAATAAACACGTTTGCGGCGTTGTTAATGTTTACTTGGTAAAGAACGTGGTGCTCTTTACACAGGGTCTCTCATTAGTTAATTTTCGACAGCACAAATTTATCAAGGAGCAACTCACCGACCCCGGCACCGAGTATCCAGGTCCCACCTCTCGATTCAATGAGATATCCAGCTCCTGTGCCAGGATATACCGTGTTGCTGCCGTCTAGGTCGTGGTCGGCGGTCCACGACCAAGAGTTTTCTAAATATAGTGACGCCCCTGATGTGGTATGCAGCGAAAGTCTTGCCGCTAAACAATTAGCAGGATTCGAGCACTCTGTCTTTGTCTTTGTTCCAAAAGCGCCTCCGATGCGAAAGTGAGTATTGAAGACGCCGACATCTCCTGGAGCTGACCCAGCCATGTTGACCTGGAGCAGTACCGCACCAGGAAGGGTTTCTGCAACGGTAAAGATGAAGTCGGATAACTGAGCAACCCCGACATCACCCTCCTGCCCGACCTTGACCATCGGTGTGGGGTTTTTGCATCCGAGAATTTTGAGCCCGTAGCGCTAATTTGGGTCCAGGCTTCGCCCACAAGGCGGCTGTTAGGTGGGATAAGAATGGTGTCGCTAACGAGATAGATTCCATGTGGAAAGAATACCACCTTGCCCTCTTCTGACGCGAGGTTGATAATTGCCTGGATGCCCACAGTATCATCCCCGACACCGTCACCTCGAACAGGGTAGTCCGGGACGCTCTTAATATTGATCACTTGGGCTACGTCATATTCGGCGTATGTCGGCGGCACAACGGTATGATAGGAGCCTATGTCGTTGACTAAAGCCTCGGGCCGGGATGTCTCAATTAATCCACCCTTGGACATCTGCGGACTTGTTGAGTCGGCCTCGTAGACGCTTCCGCGAATCCAAGAGAACCCTGGATCCACAGAACCTTGTAATGCAACTGAGCCGGCGATGCTAACAGTCTACCAAGTCTTTTAGCACATTATCCAAAGGTCGTTCCATATGACTTACCCTCTGATTCGAGGCGTCTAGTTAGGGGCAAGGGCCGGATGGGACGTACCGAAGCGACCGAGTCATCGACCACGACGTTCTCAACCACAACAGCGCCCCAGGCAGAGTCTGACGCAGAAACACTCAGCATAACCGACGTGTTAGTAGCCTTTGAATCAATGAGGTTGATTAATCCGTGAGCGCCGCCACTGGAATCTAAACCTGTCGTGCATCCCTCGAACTGGAGGCCCTGTGCGGTCACCTGCACTGAGCGACTGATTTTTACGCCAGTTAAGACATCTATCCTCATAGTAATTTTCGATTAGTTGAAGAGATCTCGATTAGACTCAGCACAAGATAACTTACCCTTAAAGAAAATGTTCTTTAGGTGGTACTGAGTCGCAGCAATGGTAATTCCCACTGAACCACCGGTAAACTCTAGATCGTTCATCACCAAGCCTGAATTCAACCCTTGCATCCAGACACCACCGTGACCTGAGGCGCCAAGAGGCATCCGGAAGGCGACGTTAGAGAGCAGGTTGTTTTGACTCACACTCCACTCTAAAAGGCCCAATGTCGTCTCGCCGGGTACGTCGGTGCTATCAAGGACTAAACTTTTGACCCCGTGAAAGAATCCCACCAGTCCCGAGTATCGCTGATCGTGTCCATATAATAGAAAAGTTCCACTGAAAGTCTTAGACGCCTTGAGAACGGCTCGGTTGAGGGGGTTACCCATAAGAACAGTTCCAACAGCGCTGCGTATTGTCGAAGTCACGAGGTATATACCCGCGGGAAAATACACCACTGCTGGTTGACCAGTGCTCCCAAACGTCCCCGAGATGCGATCACCACTAGCTGTTCCTTCTGAGATTGCGCGCTGAATCGCAGCGGTGTCATCGGTAATGCCGTCGCCCTTGGCCCCGTACTCCTTCACATTGCGGAAAACTGACCATTCTCCAACGGGGCTTACTCCGTTATGCAAAACCTCCTCGTACCAAAATTTCTTGTTTTCTTGACGAGGGCCAAGGGTACTCTTGGACTGCCGCACATGTACCTGGGCAAATGTGGCCCAGGCAATGGTTGTGATGACGAGGATGGCTGAGGCGAGTTTCATAGCGAGTAGGAGGAGATAAACAGCCGATTTGGACAGTCAGTGAAACAAGTGGCTGTTGTCAATGGGGTGCGGACATTTTTATAGACTCAAAACCCCGTCTGAAGTGTCCACGATGAAATTCAAGTCATTGCGAAGCCTGCGGCACTTAATTACGTACTTCAAAGAGGGTAGCAAAGAGACGGGGGACCAGGTCCGAGTTTTCATCGTACCCACGACGAATTCAACCTTACATTCACGCGGCTAATATAGCATAGCCAAAGACAGGGCCATACCCTACCTCCTATATGGCGAGGTCTACCTTTAATGCAGTGTTTGCCCGGCGTGTTACCGCCGAGTATCGGGATTTCCGGACACCGGGTTCATCATCTTGCTCGTTTAACATCTCTACTTAATATAGCCGCCGATCGAAGCAACACGCGTCCTACCGTTATTACTTCCGCACTTTCGGAATTTCCAGAACCCTTAGGCAATCCCGAGTACTACTATAGTTGGTTAAATGGTAATTAAGCTTATCTCCATCGCCGCTTTCAGTGGAGAATTTTGCGACGTTGAATTTAGAGGAGACCGGGAAACCCTACTATTATAGACTTCGATAAGCCTAGGTGAAGTTCACCATAATACACGACTCACATGTTAGGTACAGCTATTATAGCACAAAATACTCGGGGGTCAGTAACCGCTTAGCTATATATAGCTCAGGCCAGTAGCACCGCTAACTCTCCTTCCTGTTTAACATGTATCCTTCTAAGAGAGTGTTCTTGAGCTCAGTCAGCGCATATAGGTTGATAAGGTGTGAATAGGGGCTTAATAGTTCCTCTGCTCCCTACTAGCTCGGATCAGATCAAGACTACCGTAGCTGATGTTTCTTGGCACTTCCGTTACTGGATTAGCGGGACTCATTTATGTGTGCTCTTCCCAATCCCTCAGTGCTCGTTGTAATTATCACGTGCCGGACACTATAGGCCGTAAGACGGCGTAAATTTACATCGTGTTTATATGCTCACCGTCTCGACAAGTTTCTATCTTCTCGCATCTCTCGCCATTTCTTACAACCATGTCTACATCACCGACTTTCAGTCGGTTAGAGAATTTGCCCTTACATGTCTTTGAAGAAATTTGCGAACAGTTGATGACATACCCCCGCGAAGCAAAAACGAAGCCTGTTAGCGCTTGGTTCAACCAACAAACGCCTCCGCTCCGCGACTGCGGGACTGCTGTTCAAGACGATCCGCATTCAATTTGAAAACAAGTCTGAGTTGCCTCAAGAAGCTGAGAGATGGAAGGGAATTCTAGAATCTAGGGGCTGCGCGTCGTGCGTACGGCGTCTAAGCATTGTGGAGAAAGTGACGCTTGATGAGTGGGATGATGAGGATGTGCAGAAGCAGTGGCCGCCCGACAGAGAAGACGACTTCTTCAAGCGTGTTAACAACGAGATTTGGCCGTTGGACAAAGATGATGAGTTCTGGACGCGTCCTGAAGCGATCGAGTTTGACCCATGGGAGCCCGTTCCAACTCCAAGTCAGAAGGCAAAGGAGCAAACGGCCTGGGCCCCAGTCGTCGACTTCATTGCTAGTTTGGTCGAACTTGATGACGTGGATTTCGAGGGTAAAAGCCAGATACCAACAACCGTCCTTCGCGTCCTAAATGAGAAGGATGGCGGACCTGTTCGCCTGCATATATACGGCTTCAGTCTCCGTAGTCTATACCAGGCCGAATCGAACTACCACGATATTGACGAGGATGAGTTTTACCTGGCCACTTCACCATGTCTTTCGAGTATTCGTCTTCTAGTACCGACCCACCCTGATCGGGCCCACGGGGTTGATGACGGAAATAGGGTCTGTTTCAACGAGGATGCTGTAGCCCGTATGATAGAGGGACTGGCGCCAAACTTGAAATTCGTTTCGTTCAACGAAACCTACTCGCGGAGGCGGGCCAGACACGACTATATATGGCCCGGGTTCTTTCCCAGCCGACCCCAGGACACTAGCAAGAGGGGAAAGGGTTCTCTCGAGACTCTAGCGCTAGAATCCGGCATATCCACCGACCCGGATAGTATGCGGGCCTGGAACGACCGCACTTCCCTCAACTTTCTACGCTCTCTTCACCTACGTACATGGGACATTGATGTACCCACGTTAGCTGTTCTTTCCGAAATCGCCGAGGCTCAAGGTCTCTGTTCCCTCCGCAGTCTTTCTCTATGGATCGGAGGCTGGCCCAGTGAGGAGAGCGAAGACAGGATAAGCGAATATAGAGACACCGAGATCTCTAGGTTTCTGAAGGCACTACGACACCTCCAATCCCTCGAACTCAAAGGCCCTTTTGCTGATAAGACATTTGATACCATACTCCACACTCACAGGCGTTCTCTACGGAAACTTAGGCTTATACCGGAGCGGGACCCAGATGTGCAGATGGAGCCGTTTGTCCTCACGCGAGATCGGGTGGAGGCGTTAGTCCGATCATGTAACCAGATCCAAGACCTTGAACTCCGTATCCCACGGTCTCAAGGCGATGAGGATGAAGTCCGGATCTACCACGCCCTTTCTGAGCTGCCTCTGCTCGACAGGCTGAGTTTGTTACTTGACTGTTCCAACCTGCGAGCGGCTGAGGAAGAGTCAGACAACACTTCAGGCATCGCCGACTCGTTCATCCGCGAAGCTCTCATTAATCTCAACACGTCGGACCGTGCACTGGCTGTAGACATATTCGATGCCCTTTCCCTACGCAACTCACCGCGTCTCATCAGGCTCTATCCTGACGAAGTAGGGAATTTCGGTACTGACGTGCGGGAATGGTCTATGATCTTTATTAGAAACGTCCTGTCACGTGCTTGGATACGAGAACGGGATGATATGCTTAGCCACGAGGGCGGATTCCGCATCACGGAGATTGAGGCTAAAAATCGGCAGAACAGTGATAGGGAGCCAATATTAAGTGAATTTGAGAGGGCTTTAGTAGCTGCCTGGCCAAAATCGGATTCATGGTTTGGGGACAAGGGGAAGTTTATAAGCTTTCCGCTGTGGAAGCCAGGTAATCTATAATGTACGAAACCTAAAGGCTATACGCGAGCGTCATCGCTGTCTAGTGACACGAGACTTCGATCAGGACAAGGCTAGGTTACGATAGTAATGGTACGAAGAGCATGCGATAGATGATGATAGTATGCGTTTCATACCACCAGCTATTAAACTCGAGGCTGCCCATATTCTACCGCATTTTGTCATGGCCACGCGTATGGGTGAGCAAGCAGTAGGTCTTAGTTTAGTACACTCACTAGGTCATTTATGCTTACGCTCACTTCTAGGAGAAGTCAAGGATCGCTGCCCTCGCTATCTTAAATATGTTTGAGACTGGTGTGGTGGGCATGATCGAAGGTTGAGATATTGCCTGGCCCCACAACGCCCTTCCACTATAGCCTAGCTTTCTTTGCTGTTTTGGCAATTTTGAAGTTTACTTCACCGCTATCGATATCGACGCGAAGACGTACAAAATCCAGTTAATTAACTACCCGGCTCTGACCACATAGAGGTAACCCTAACCGTACGCCACTACTCATTACTAGTACCCCTATCGCTATCCTAGGCGTTATGCTAGTGCTCTAAAACGTGAAGCTAAATCTAAAATTGAAGGGAGATTTTTTTACTTGATCTAAATCTCATGGGAGATGGCTGGCTATATATAAAGCCACTGAGAATCTTAATTATTGGGAGCTATCTGGTAGATGCTTCCTAGGTTCCCTTCCGTATCCTCAAAGTAGCGGTATAATCCGAAGCCGCTTTCTGGCTGCACCCCGGATAATATCTTTCCACCCGCGGCAGTGATTGCCTCGCTGGTTTGCTTGAGGTCCTCCACAAACCAATGCATGCAGGTCCCTCCGTGACCAGTCTTTAAAATTCCGGCCTCGTCAGGGACGAAGACTATTCCCCGCTGAGGCTGGAGTCCGGGCTGAAATCGAAAGAGCGAAGACGCGTTTCCAACACGTCTTCTCGAGGCGGTTTAAAGTACCAGTTGAACACACTTGAGTAAAATCGATGGGCTATCCACGAAGTTGATAGCGCTGTCAGTACTCGTGCTCAACGCTATTCCAACTTCGGCCTTTATTTCTCATACCTCGAGGGACATCTCGGGCGGAGATACTGATCCAACAGGGGTGCCCAAACCTGGGTGGTTTCCAATTTTCGGTAGACATCTCGAGGGCTTATTTAGATGATTCAAAATGGGTGGGAAATCGCGGCTAACATTGCGATAATCTGCTCAGGGCGCGGAATTGAAAGTTTGCCAAGGGGACAGGCGATAGTTTAAATAGCTCGACCAAGGGATAGAAATCACCGTGTGCTATTCATTCTAGGATAAACATTCGGCCGTCTGACGGCTCCAATCCGAAAGGTTCACGAACCTGAAAAGGGTTAGGGGAAGTGGCTTGCATCGCCTAACCGTGATACTTGAGCTTCATTGGCTTGTTGAACGTTTGATCCGGACTTATACAGGAAGGCTTCTATCGACCGAGTGACCATAAAAGCCATTAATATTGCGAGGCGACCAATGTTCGTAAATCCAAGACCCTTCGTAAACAGTGAAGTCGCTGTATATCAGAGAGCATCTGCGAGATTTGTTAATTTTCGCCCACTATCCTTCGAAGTCAAATACTTTAGTATTCCCAACGAGTCAGTCGATTCGTGGCTCCTTGCTAACAGTTGCTTATGGATAAGTTCATTGCGTGAGTACACGGGAACCTGTAATCCACCTAACGCTGTCCGTCCCTCAAGACACCTCAGACACATCATTTGTACCCCTGGCCGTATCTGTTCGCCTGATACCTGAATCGAGGCGTTTTGAGGAGGGTCGAGAAGGATTATTTCATCAGCCCCAAGTATCCGTTCTTCAATCACGTTGCGCGTATCGGTAGCTTGAGCGACTACTTCTCCGGCGAGAATAGCTAAGACTGGGAGCCCTCTCATGAGAGGAGGGAGACCCCCTTGGACATTCCCTAACTTAGCGAGCCTAGAGACGTCTGATTTTAAAGAAACGGATTTCTGATTCTTGAACATGGTAGGGGCGCTTTAGGAGAATCGACTGAAGTGGGTGTGTCAAGTTGGGCGTGTATGTGGCACTGAGGGGTACGAGCCAAAAAGCATCTGGAGATGTATTAAACAAAGGTAGACCCAGCTTCTCACAATTCACGCGGCACAGCTCCTGAGGCGCTCATCTCAACACGTGACAGTCTATGGTTGACAAGGCAACACTGATGTGGGCGCTGACTAACATCGCCCGGCGTTAATATTGAAGAGGGAAAATGTTCGTATTCGCTCCTTGGATCCTTCTAATACGAAGCAGATCCGTTTTCTATAGTTGGGTATCGGTTAGATATAACGGCAAACGCCATCTGGATATTCATTCTCATCTTTCAATAGTTATGTCCCTACCTTCTCGTACTTTTATACCCGAAAGCGTGAGATTGCATCTGGCGAAGATAAACCACCAGATCTAGTTGGTACTACTGTCTTCTTTTTTAAGACGCTAGAGCCAGACCCTTGCCTCCTCTTCTAGTAGCATTTTAACAATCCCGAAATACTCGCGGGTTCGGGAGTGGAACTGTCAAGAAGTCTCCTGAGCGGACGTACACACTAGGTAGCTCGATGGCGACTGTTGTCTATGCTCTAGACCAACAGTTCGTCAAAAGGAAGCCCGCAGACAAGGAGTTCAAAACGGAGAACGCACAACGCTAGTTCATCGAGAACGAATTTGACGTACCGGGCGACGATCGTAACGAGCGCCTCTATGCCAAGTTGACCCGTGAGCTAAACTAAGTTGTCCAGTTCTAACATGCCGTTTTCCTGATCTACTGTTAATCTGGGGGCTTCCCGAAAGCCGCAACTAGAATAATCTTGCCTTAGACTAGTCCAAGTTCATCACCGACGGATCGGAGATGATCTACGACAATTAGAAGGACGATGACGATAAAGCCGCCTCTGCGTTCTCTAGCCTATGCAGCTCGTGGACCCAAGAGATGAATACACGGGGATTGACCACGGTGGGCATTAATATCACTCTCCCCGACATAAGGCTATAACTCGAAGCAGCTGTTGTATTGATGATACACTATGAACATTGATTGCTACCTTGTGACATCACCGTAAACCTCAAGGAGAATCCCACCTTCTATCAGTCAATCCCCCGCCCTATACTGACTTCTGATACTGAATATCCTCACCTATCTTTCTCCTCGAGTCGCCCTCTAACTCAACTTGATCAACCACCCACCTTTTCCTCCCAGCCTCGTCTGTGCGAAGCCCATAACCGTAGCTCTTGCCCAAGCCCTCAATTGCCCTTTCCCTCTCCTTACGCCGCATTTCTTCAATACTCGTAAAGTCTCGGGACATGTTCGTCTCGGCCACATACGTCATCAGGGCAGCCACCGAATTAGGTCTCCTTGGCATATGTGGCAGTGATCTCCTCCATCGGTGTAAGAAAACAATGGCTACCAGCATGATGATAAGTACGATGATGGAGATGATAGCGCAGACAAGGTATTCTGTGCGAAGTTGCCCTGGACGGTAGGGTAGCCCAGCTAGGAAGATGACAAAGAATTCGCTGAGGAGGGCAGTGAATGCTACCCCAGCAGCGACCATGTAGCCCATACGCGCGAGTGGGAGGATGGCGATAAATGGGATCGCATAGCTCTTCTTGTTAACTGTCTCACGAGGTGTGCAAGCCTGTTTCTGCATCCGGGCAAAGTGCGATAGGCTCTGGACGTCGGTGAAGGCGGTAGACCAGTATTTTGCAATGGCGATGGCGAGGAGCGCGAAGAAAATGCGGATACCGATGGTCCAATTACGTGTACCATAGCGGAAAATACGCCGAGGGTCGTCGGCATATGCAAGAGCCGCAGCACAAAAGCCTAAGAGAGCGAGTAAGATGACAGCAAAAACGTAGTCTACAGCCTCGCGCTTCTTCAGCCATTTAGAGTGGGTGTCATCTTGTTTCGCGTGGAGAGCAGCCCATTTATCCTGTGCTCGCTCTTTAAAAGTCCGATTTTTTATCAAGGTTGAGAATAAGAGGCACCATGCCGAATCGGGTGCCTACATCCTCTAGCGTGTAATCGCCCAGGGTGTATTGCTTTCCCTGGAGGCGGGCTATGAGGCCCCTGTTTGATAGCTCGGACGGTACATTGGCAAACTCGCGCTCGACCTCGGGATGGCCCATCAGACTGGCGACAGACGAGATAGACGAGGTGGCCTTCATTTTCACGGTCTGGGGCGTCCTAATCCAAAGTGCAACGACGTACACAAGGGAAACAACCACCACCGCTATAGAGGTAGTCACCACAGTCAAAGCCCATTTGTTGCTACTAACGCGTGGCGGCCAGCATGGATTGAGGGTATTGGCAAAATCGGGGGCATCGCAGTAGTGAGTATCGAGGAAAATCGCCTCACCTGCAAATGCGCTGCCGATATCTGCGATAAAGTTGGATAGAAATATCGGAATCATGGTTACCGCAGCCCCTGCTAGCGCAGCACCAGACGCTCCATCATGGGAGAGCAACTGACGGCCCGGTTCAAACGACGCTATATCACTATAGGCGGCCGACGCCCATGATGCAAAGGTTCGGGCTATGATGAGAGGGATGTAGTTAGCAACCACAGATTTCCCCACAGGCCACGAGGCGACCTGTTGCTCTTCTTTCTCATTATCTTCGCCACCACCGCCACCGCCCCGCCCCCGCCACCACCACTATCTCCGGTGGAAGTTGCGGAGGCGGTCGGCTCGGTTGTTGCCTGTTCCTTAGTGACACTTATATCAGAAGTCGTGCTAGTTGCTGGAGTTGTCTCCGTGGCTGACTCTGTATTTGAAAGAGAAGGCGATTCTGACTCTGATTCTGTGGCGGTATTCGAATCTGTTTGGGATTCAGACAGCTGATCCGAGATAGAAGTCTCCGTATCCGAGGGAGTGGTAATTGAAGGTGCCTGTGATGAAGGGCCAGTTGTTGGACTCTCAGAATTAACTACAGGTTCTGATGCCGTAGTACTAGCTTCACTCGTAGTCATCGTAGAACCGCCCTCTGAGGTTTGGGAGGTTGGGGTAACCTCTGGCGCCGTCGAAGTTGGGGCATCACTCGTTGTTTGAGAGTTGGGAGACGGCTCTGTGGTCATGCCATCTGACGTTGAGACATCAGGGGTTGTAGTAGGGTCATCCGGTGTCGTAGTAGGGTCATCCGGTGTCGTAGTAGGGTCATCCGGTGTCGTGGTAGGGTCATCTGGTGTTGTAGTAGGGTCATTAGGGGTTGTAGTCGGGTCATTCGGTGTCGTGGTAGGGTCATTCGGTGTCGTGGTAGGGTCGTCAGGCGTCGAGGTAGGGTCATCGGGCGTTGTAGTGGGGTCGTTCGGATCTGTAGTAGGAGGTGTTGTCGTTGGTGTGTCTGGCGTCCCATTCTGCCTACAACTCCAGCTACACGTTTCGGTGCCACCTAGATCGCACACAGCAATCTGCCCTGGTGGACACTCATTCTGAGGGTCCGGGAACGAGTCGTAGCAGTCGCAGTTAGTCGGCCAAGGGTCGCACACTAGCATCCAGTCATCCTCACACTCTGGGAGCGGTTTATCTTGGTTGGGTGGAGTTGGTGTTACAACTGGGTCCGACGGGGTTGGAGTGACAGGTTCTATGCTCGGCGTGCTCCTAGAGTAGCAGCTCCACTGGCACACGTCGCCTGGGTTATCACCAATCTGACACATGGCGATTTGGCCCGCTGGGCATGCGTTTTCAGGATCCGGGAAGACGTCATTACAATAGCAGTCCGTCATCCCAAGACCACAAAACAAGATCCACTCCTCATCGCAATTCTGAATAGGGTCTTGGCGCTTCAGGAAGCTTCGTTCTTCGATATCAAGGGGTGAAGAGTATCGGGATATTGCACGACGTCTTCCTTATTCGCTGCTAGTACGAGCGCTCGCTCATCTAGGCTAGGAGATTGACGAACGCTCGTAAGCTTTCGACGAACGATGACAGCTCCCGGGGCTCCGCACGTGGTCCTAAGTCCCGATAATTATCATAGGTATCAAGACTTCGTCTTGTAAATGGCAATTTAAAGTTAGACTGCGAACCACTAGGCAGCCTCTTATGTAGCCAAATGGTTATACCGAGTAATCCGACGGACACAAGAAGGAGAACGACGAGGCCATAGAATCGAGCAATAAATGACTTGTCCTGGTAGCCCTTCCTCGCTATTACCACGACGCAATTTCATTAGCAACGAAATACTAACAAATAAACATAGCGACCAAAAGAAGAAAAGAATAAAAGGCGGTCTCATACTTAGCGGGTTGATAGCTGAATATCTCGGGGATTTGCTCCTCGTAAGCTGGTCGCTCTTTCGCCTCGGGCTATGAGACATTGTCGGAGTCTTCCTCCTACTAGAGGCTAGATGCTGAAGGGGAGATACGAGAGATACCCTCGACAGTGGTATCGCGACGGTAACGCTGGAGAAAGCGGAGAGGGGATGGAAGATACTATAAAGCCTCTTAAGGAAGGTAGAGCTTGGCCCTAGATAAAGGCGTCCCCCTTTTACTACTATATACGTTTTGTAGGCAACAGAAGGATAGGAATAATATTGCTCTGTATCTCACGGGCACTAATATAGGCAGTACCAACGCGGAAAGGAAGCCACGTCGAGGAAAATATCCCGCGAGCTCGCGACGTGGGTCGACGAGCAGCCTACCCTTGCCACTAATGCTCCAATGCCGAACTATTGAATCGGATACCACCTCGATGGACAAAACATTGTAGGTCTAGCCCCTTCTTTACCTAGGATTCGGTAATGCCAAGGCCCACGACACCTACATCGTATAAGCCCTAGCAAGTGGGTGACAAAAAGAGGCACCGCAAAACAGCTGCAACCCACTATGGTCGAGGGTACAGGGGCATTGGGGGTGGGAACTGGGCAAGCTTAGGTGGCAAGACACCCGTTCTAGTAGTCAAGGGTATTTTGCGGTGCCGCTTTTTTGGTCACTCACTTGCCTACTGCATAGTAGCTGAGCCACACACGGAGAAGTCAATTGCTGTATGTATACCGAGGTACATTTATTAAGTCCTCTTAAACTTGACGAGTGTAGACTCGAGGTGGCCATTTACAGCGGGGATCCCTGGGTTCACTTGGGCACATGACTGCAACCAACGCCGAATTTACCACATCAGTTAAACCAATATATGGCCCCCCTTTACCCCAACCGCCGTCAGAGCGCACGCACTCCCTCGGGAGGAAAGAATTTATGCCTGAACCTAGGCCCTTTATGAAAAGGATAAATGAGAGGGGAGCGATGGCGTGGGACTTCATCAAATACTGTCTACACTAGATCTCGTATTAGATTACCGTAGTGTTACAAGGAGAAAGGTGCAAAAAGAAAAAGACACAAAAAGACAAGGACAAAAGACTCTTGGCATCAATAAAAGGTCGATTTCAGGTCAACTAGTTAAGGTTCATAGCCCGTGGGAGCGGGGCGGCTGAAACTCCTGTGGCCAATTCGCAATGTTATCCCACGACCGCGCGGCTCTTATTCGACGCCACATCACGCTTAGCGAACATTCGCCTATGCAAGATATTCAAGACAGGCATGGGCTTTTGAGCGGACATGCCAGCTGCCAAGCCCCTCGAAATTTATGCCCAGAATGGGCTAGATATTCCTGTCAAACAAGCAAGGGTTTTAAGGCGCACCCACCTCAAAAAGCTTTTCCGTTGATTTGCGCCCGGACCGGCAGAGATCAAGCTTATTTGTGATAAGCCACATCAGGGCAGGCAAAACAAGCAATTCCAAAGTTTACCCGATGCTCTACCAACGCAGCATTCCCCACCCATCCGTTTTCTCATATCGCCTCATCTATCTCACACCTTTGATACCAACGGATTAGGAGATGTAAAAGGTCTGAAACGGGATAAGATTGGGCAAAAGGAGTGCTCGAACGGGACACTCGAAGGAGCTATAAGGTGCGCTTAAAATAAACGGAAAAACAATTGGGCGCGTAAATACAGCGTCGGTAAACCTTCGGATAAGCCACATATAGTTCGAATAGCTAGAGCTAGATAGTCTGTTAAAAGGTGTTCTAGCTAACGGCGTTAGACGAGACTCGCAAGAACCACACTTAGAGGATTTTTATAATAGGATGTACCCCGAATAGGCGAATTTTATGTCTAAGGCAATGCTTAAGGCAGCAATAGGTTAGAATAACTTTGAACGAAGATGAAAGCCTGAAGCGAATAAGTTACTAAGGCACCGAAAATCTTTAAAAATTTTAAAAGAGGAGTTAGGAGTCTCTATTCTCATTCATTTTCGTTAGGGAGAGGAATTAGTAGTAGTTGTGTAGCCCCCTGTATTTGCTTAATCTAAACGATAGTAAAGTAGCTAACAGTATAGTAGGATCTATCATATTAGCCCTCGGCCGATATCGAGGAGTGATATCATCTTATCGAGGACCTTTCCTCGCCTTCTTGCGGGGTGTATTGCCTAGAAACATTTATGGCCAGCTAGGAGGTAGGAAGGGTGTTTTTCTTAATCCAAATCTAGCTAATTTCCCACGGGCATAACCTCCTTAACTGACCTCGTCGCGAGCTCCACGATCCCCCTCGTTCGTCCTAGGGAACATGAGATAAATAGAGAAAGGTAATAATATAATATAGTTCTAAAGATGAACTAGGAAAAAAAAAAGGAGGAGAATCATATGACTCGATCAGGTTTCTCTTAAAGGTAAGTTAGACGACTAATATTATACTAGAGATCCTTAGAATCAATATTAAAAATTTCGTACCCCTTCGATTCTTCAGCTTCGTATACTATCTAGGCAAATCACTTTATCGATAATAGATACTCATCTATAATAGTAGTTAGCTTAATATAGTTCTCAGTAGTGTCACCTAAGCTGGGTTCTACGAACAGATTGATGATCCTGCTGCTTTCCATCTTCCCTCCTCATAGAGGCCAAGAGAGGAAAATTGGACTTGCATATCTGCTGGGGTATATTTAAAGGCCTCGTAACAGTCAATCTGGTGGTTGGCTGGAAATGATATGCCGATCTCAGGGCAAGACACAATTCGTAGAGACTGGAACACAAATCGATGCATCAAGGGCTGAACTGTCATCATGGGGATAACCACCCAGTCCTCGGCGCGATACCAATTATGACCGAGGACGCGATTTGAGTGTGTTAATCCATTGCGCATAAACCGTTCAAATAAGCCCTGGCTGTCGTTATATGAATTCCATACTTTGGAGTGATTGGTGGTACCATCCATTGCTAGGAGCATGCGGTCATCGGCAGACATGAGCTTTGTCCACCTACCTAGCATAGCGATTGCAGGCTCAAAGAAGTCATTTCCCAAGATAGATCCCAGGGACAATAGCCATTTGGGAGACGCTATAGAAGCAACCCACAACTGTGCATCGTCAAATGTGCCCCAGAGGCCATAGCACTCGACATACTTATATTGAGTCGACATCTGGGTAATACATTCGTCAAGGGATGCATGGGAGAGGTCGAGACCGTAATAACGCACCGGTCGTTTCTGGTATTCGAGTTGGTCTAGAAGAGGTCGTATCTTACGAGTATCTCTAGTAATATCAGAGTGTTAGTTCAAAGACGTTAACTATGTGGTAATATTCTATTGTTCGGTGAACTCCTGCCTAGACAATGCCATGGCACCGCTAATGAACTAGGACCTATTTATATCGTCAGGACACTCACCCACACCCTAGGTCAATCAGAGTACAGCCAGGTTGGATCTCTTGTATAATATGGGACCCATAATTAGATAATAAGCGGACCTCTTCATCGGTTTGATAGTACGCTGGGAGTCGGTTGATCTTGCGCCAAAGTGCGAGACCAACATCGTCAGAAAGGAAGGCCGACGGAAGGACACATTGAGTCTGAGGTGTGATCATTCGACTTTGAATCATCGTTCTCAAGGACTCTTGGAGTCGTGAGCCCCCAATATCGATGATTCGACTGCGAGGAGAAGGGCCCAGATCTATGGATAGGCTAGAGGATGACATATTAATGGGACTGAGAGAATAAAATTCGAATTGTGAGAAGAAGGGGCTGGCCTTCTTTTAAAACACGTATACTAGATATACTTCACGCTACTACAATTTTAGCCTGCTATTACTATCTGGTAACTACTAGGATAAGTCTTTTTTCAGCTCCTTCGATATCAGTAACTCTTAGGATGCCGGCCGGCCTTAACACGTGGTACCCGCTCGCCGGACATTACGACGGTACGGAATATATGTCGCGCCGCCGTGGCGTGTGAACGATATTAGAGAGCTACATTATAAATAGATTTCTACTATAGATGTCAAAAGACGGTGTAGAAGGTTAGTTAGGATTTAGCTATAAATGTATATAGAGTCCGCATAGGTGGGTCCGTGGCTTTTCACCTAAGCGTAAATACAAGTGGTCAAATTACCACTATAAGGTAGGTAAAAGGATTTATTTAAAACTAAAAGATATAGGATAGGCTAACACCTCCTCAACCCTGGATGGGTAGTGGCTTTTGTCCAATTACAAAATTCAGCGTTGGCGCATAGCCATATGCAAGGAGCTCAGGGCCGAGTCTGCTCAAAATCCTGTCGAACTCTACAAGATCTCGAGCGATACCATCAATACCTCCAATAGGGAATCTCGACCGCATATTGCCAAACTCTTCAGCCCAAAGATGGGCGGATCTCTGTTTCCAGCTATTTTCCCTTGCCTTCGCCCCATAACCTAAACTTATCTGCGTCTTTGATATACCCACAAACCCAGCTTTGCGCAGCATATCTTCTAAATAGTATCCGGTGTTGATATCCATTCCACCCTTCCATGTTACCCACTCAATCATTTGAGACAGCTTGGCAATGTTAGGATATTTTTGGGGCTCGAAGGCCGGGTCCTCATCAACCCACTCGCCCTCGACTAATTGAATCCAACCTCCGGGCTTTAGTAGTGAATAATGATTCTGGAGAACTGTCGGCCAATCTGAAGCTCGTAGCCCCCATAGTAAGAGCCGCTGGTGGATGATGTCAAAGTTATTCACCCACTCCGGATCCGGAGGAACAGGAGATCGCATGTCGTGCTCACGCAGGTGAAGTCTAGGCTCTGCCGGGAAAAGGGCAGACGTAATATCAATACCATAGAGATCCCACTGATAGGCGCTATAGATTTGAGGGAGCTCTAGTAGCCAGGTCCCTTTATCATAATGATTAGCTCACTTTCTCATCAACGATGATTATAGGATTGTGGTCATAGATAAGCATACCGTCAGACGCGCCTGCGTCAAGCACCTTGATCTTTTGCTTACTTAGAGGCGTAGTCAGTAAGACACCTTTAGCGGAGCTAAGGATAAACTCGTGTTGAATCTTGAGACGTTCAATTTCCCTTGGATGGTGTGGAAGGAGGTATATACCCTCTGATCCAGCATAGAGGTCGGTGGAAGGAGTCTGTCGGCCCATTAGTCGTGGCCTAATAGGGGCCGCGTCCATCTTGCGGAAAGGGTTGTCAAGAAAAATATTCTGAAGTGGGAGGATAAGATCCTTTGATAATTGAATGCTTTATCTCCTTGAGCAGGGCCATGTGTCCTGATATGCTATGAATGGATTTTATAGCATCATCTCAGACTTGACCGCTATTCTCATATAAACGAGCCTTAGACGGGCGCTTCACGCTAATAGACGGATGTCCGTGGCCTATCGTGATATAAATCGACCTTTTGTCGACCCACGTTAGTGGGCTGAACGCCGAGTCAGGGCAATCTGCGACCTAGTTAGCGTGGCGTACTATAGATAAGAGAAACAAAGCTAGGGACCCCGAGACTTCCCCACCCCTGACGAAGGAGGCGTCGATCAGTGAGGCGATGCGGGCGCTATAGCAGCACCTCTAAGGCGGGCGGGTGAACATAAGGGTATATTGATAGTCACATATCGTAATCGGAGAGAATTAGAAACTTGATCAGAGCAAGTAGAATAAATATCCTAAATAAAATCAATTTAGATATTGTTTTTAAGTGTTCCGTCCTTTGATAGATAACATCATTTGACTTAATCTACATCTAGTCCTAGAGTAATATAGATGTGCTGTCAATGATAACCAACCCCTACTGGATGAATGGACCTCTAGCGAGCATCCAAAACACGCTGAGTCCATGTAGCACGATAGCCGATGTCCGCACCCATGTTGTCTGGTTGAGTTGCCGAACTAACGCTTGCGAGCCGTCCTGCTGTATGCGTAATTGTAGAGGCACCTGGACTAGGGCTGATGAAGCCCATGACACGAGAAGGGCGGAAAGACCAGCGTTTAGACAGTAGAACACAGTACTATCTGTGGCTGCGGATGGGTGGCTTGCTGTCAGGTATGCGTTATATAGGGTAAGCGTGGTTTTTGGTGCGACATAGGTAAAGAGGGCGCCGAAGCCACTCGTGGTCTGCAGCGCTTTGAGCTGCTGTGGTTCGTGTACACGCGTCCAGCCTCGGAAAATGGCGGCATGTTCCATGATGCCACCACAAAGACAGTATGACGAGAGAAGGGCGTAGACTGCAATGTCTAAAGGGAGTACGAGATGAGAGGCCATTTCGGAGGGGGGTACTATTGTAGAATGAGAATTATGAATTAATAACACTCGAACCTTCCTCTCCTCAGAGGGAATCTTCGTTATTTATCTTTCGCTAAATTGTCCTAACTATAGCTGGGAGGCCGAACTGCCATCTATGGAGACTTTTCCTAATTAGGAAAAGTGGCCGGTGGTTGTCCCGACCCGCCGGTGAGTGGCAACCGGGTCGGTGGTATCATACCGGAGACATTTCAATACTCGGCATAAATTTGAATAGGAGCGAGATTTTCAACTAAATAATATCTACCACTAGCATAGATCTTACCAAACTGATTACCAAGGGTTTATTATAATGTAGCCGAGCTGCCTAACGTGCTACTCGTTCAGCCCGAATATTTTATATTTAAGGGTCCCTCGTCCTCCTCTATTAGTTTGATTTTATTAATACCAACGTCTATTGCCCCAGCGATCCTTCATTAACATCCCAAAAAACTACCTCTCAATTTGATCTACATATATAAGCTGAATATCCTTTGCAGCTCACGATGATCCCCCAGTAATGAAATCCTGGAGATACTCCAAAGGCGTCACAGCTAAGACCCTAACTGGAAAGCTTGAGGACCATATATCTCTTAGCAATATCACACGATCGCCTACGAAAGATTCATTAGCCCGGGACCAAGTCATCATACGAGTTCTATATGCGACCCTAAACCCCGCCGATTATAAAATACCGGAATCCGACTGGTTCGGTCGCTCTTTTGGCCTTGGCAACGGTGCACAACCAGGGATGGACTTCAGCGGACACGTGGTGGCTAAACATGACTCGAATACGAAATATAAAGAGGGAAACCTAGTGTTTGGGTCACTGAAGAAGGCTTCGCAATATGGTACCTTGGGCGAGTTCACGGTTGCCTCAGTTTCAGAGCTCGCCATCGTGCCTGAGGGTGTTACGCCTATGGAGGCTGCAGCAATAGGAATGAGTGCGGGCACTGCATGGAACTCGCTTGTCAGCCTTACCAGGGAGAGTGGTGCCCATGTATTCATTAATGGGGGTAGCGGTGGCGTCGGGGCCTACACTATTCAGCTGGCAAAGTCTATGGGCGCCGAGGTGACCGCCACCTGCTCGACTCGGAATGTCGGTTTGGTCTCAGGCCTCGGGGCCGACCATGTCATTGACTATAAGAAAACCAACCTGCTGGAGGAGCTCCAGGCCCTTGGGCCACAGTTCGATCTAGTAGTTGACAATGTAGGGGAACCACACGACTTGTACCACCATTCACCAGGATTTCTCAAAGTCAATGGCACATTTGTTCAGGTCGCCGCAACTCCCACCGCGACTGGTACTGGCCAAATATTTTCTAATCTGATCAAATCGAGGCTCCCGGGCTATCGCAACTTTCATTTTGTCACTGATAAAGGAAGTACTGAGGAATATGCTACTATTGGGCGACTAGTTGCTGAAGGCAAGGTGAAGCCGGTGATCGAAGGGGTCTTCGAATTTAGCAATGTACAACAGGCCTACAAAAAACTACGGGAAGGAAGATCACGGGGAAAATAGTTGTGAAGGTTCATGAGGATGAGCTAAGGACTGAATAATTACATATAAGATATTCCCTTAGTGTTAAGTTCTATACTATTAGTTTAGCCCACGAAGTGATGTCTAGTTTATGGTGGCACACTATCTAAGCTGAGCTCAAGTACCTTTCCCTGACCCCCTTGCATGGTTATGTAATCTATGCCATGAGGGTTGATTTCAAAGATTATCGGGTCAACGCAAGGGGCCATCGGACTGACATTCAGCCGGCCGGAGCTCGTGTATCAGCTGATCTGATCTGCTCTGCCCTGGTATCAAGACGCTGCAGTTTGATTCTCTTCACATCACTAAACCTTTTTGCGATCTGCCGCACAATCGTGAAAGCCGACATAAGTCATGACGCAGCCAAGTTCTATTCTCGAGGGCCGGGTTAAGAATAGAGCGTGTGATTCCTGCCGTACGTTTTCTCATTGTGTTATGCCCACGCTTTTGCTTATTGTAATTTTTACCCTAGGAGACCGGAAACTAGCATGTTCTAAGGAGCCAACGGGGTGTTCGCGATGCAGCGAAGGCGATCTCACATGCAATTACTCATCGCGTAGGCGCATGGGTCGGCCTAGGAAACATAATAGGCCGGTGTTTGATAAATGCATGGCATTTACGAATGACGATGAACAATCTATGATATCCGTTGACCGCCTAGAGCTCGGCGCATTGTGGGCAGAGGTAGAAAAGGTACCCCCGGTCGAAAGCTCAGGTCCTAAAGCGGTAGATTTACCCATCATCGCCCCTTTTTCGGATTCAACAGCATCTTTCTAGTCGACGGAGTTGGACTAGAAGGACCGGGTCCCATCCCAAGCTCTGCCAGCCTTAGCAGCGACAAAAGCTCTAAACCTACTGTTGAAGCAGTCGATACGCGCATGATGAAAGCTGGCTTCGCATGTACCTGCGTCGATGATATATTACGAGCCACCAAAGCATTATCTCTACGTCATTCGGAATGGTTGCCTGCGGTAAAGGCGGCCCGCGGAGCCTCCGCCATAGCATATCGCGTCCTTGAGTGTCCACTACTCCAGACGAACAGTGCTGGCGGCGTGGTAGATCTGGATCATATCGACCAGGTCATAGTCGTCTTTTGTCCTCTGTTTCTATTGATCATACGAGCATATAATCACGTAGCAGTGTTGATTGATATTGAGACATCGTCGGCTCAGGAGCACGGAAGACAAAGCCGATTCGATCTCGATTCTTATGGCGGGCTATGGGGGTCCCTAGGGAATGGGAGGATTAGATGTGGCAACTATTACAACGGGCTTCCCATGGATCCCCAGCAATGGAGGCAAAGTCTTCGGACACTTCTGAAATCAGATATACACGGCCTCGATCTAACGAAGCGGGGTAACGAGGGCAACTCTTATATATACCACCATAACGGCCTCTGGGACTTTCTGCAGGAAATGAAAAGCAGACTTTTAGCAGGAAATCTAACTATATTGTTAGACTCCGGCGTCGTCCCGCACAACTCTGAAGTAGATACTCAACAACTAGTCGAGGTTGTAGAGCAGTTTTTGAAGGATCTAGTCATCGCCTAGCTCACTATCTAGATAAGCATCGAGAGGGCTGTTCGTTGACGATTTTCTTTCGTAGCTCTTACCTTAATAATAATAATTATCACTATTTATACTATTAACAAGTTATCCTACTAGTCTATTACCTCTCTTATAGGTTTATTATATCTCCATAATATGGTATCTCGTCTGCTCCCGCGTTTAAATAAGAGAGGAATCGTTAATTCACCTAGTAGGTGGCTTAAGTTAGGATAACTATCAATAAAGCGAGAATTAATCAATGATAAGCGGGTTAAGGGCCTAAAAGTATCCAGCGATTTAATATCTCAAAAGTAGAAATATATTATACGCTTATTATATCAGGAGAGCCGAGCATAAATTGACTTTCTTAGAGTTTTAAAGATTCTGGCCAAGTTTTAAATAACTAAGGTTAATTCAATAGTATAACTCAGAACTACACCTTAGCGAAATGCAGGTTTGACTCTCTAGCTTCTGCCTGGGGAAACCGCAGCCTAGCCCCCATCTGATTAGGCAGCCGGCTTACCGATCTTACTCACGGGCCTAGTTAGGCGCGCTGGTTAACTAGGGCCCTCACCCACTGAGTCATATTCAATGCCCCATTCCGTGACAGAGGCGAAGCGGGGCTATGTTATCTCGCGCCTCACTGCTGCCTGCGCCGGATGCCTCCCTGCGCCTGCTAAGTCTATCGCGCAGACGCACCCCGTGAAATATTTAATTCACGCCTAGGTCTGATCGCCTAGTATGATGGAATTAGACATGATACCTTACGTTTTCATATTTCGAATTATTCAAAGACCATTTTGTATTTTCTCTACCCCCTGCTACTACCTTCCTTCATCGCCCAACTCTTCCATCTCTACGTAGAGTGTCCTGCCCTCGCAGGTTCCTCACACTTGCGCCTGCAGTCATGGCCCAAACGCTACTCTCAAAATTCATGATGCCCCTTGGGTCCTTGTTCCGTATGTGTGGAGTTCATAAACAGTTAACAAGCGCCCTAAGATTAACGAAGGCTCTTCTATAGGTATCGAAACCAGGTTGGATAAAAAGCCCGAGAAGCCTAGTATCACAGGCGGGGACGACTCCATCCAGAACAAGCCCGTGAAATGTGAGATCAAGCATCTAGATAGCCGCTTCGACGAAGAAGACAACCAGTATTTCTGCGAGCGCAAGGTCGTTGAGGTGAAAACAAGCCCCGAGAACCAGGACTGGTGGCGTCTGTCTGCGTTTTGCCTAGTGAAGCACTACGACTCAGACGGCGACCTCGATTCTACGCAGCTTTACGTCAACCCTCAGCCTATGAGGGATCTCCTGCGCGATGTTATTGGAGACTACCCGGGTGACCCTATCGACGATGCAGACGTGAGGATCGAGTCACCGTACCACTCGCTCTTCCACCACAGGAAGCAGATCGAGTCCGACGGTACTCAGCGCTTTAGAGACGACGAGGAGTCCAAAGCGCAGCTCGATATCCTCCTTGACTGGATCAAGAAGCGCTTCGAGCAGGAGATCACAGCTTCTGAGAGATGCCTCTCCGGTGACCTTAAGGCCATATCGTATGATAAACTATGGACCCTTTTCCCTCCTGGCACCATTGCGTATATGAAGCCCCACGGCGAAGACCGCGCATTCCGCGTTCGGCAGACCTGGTACGACGATGATGACGATAACAGCGAGCCAGGCATGAACTTGTCATTGGAATACGTCGACTATGATGGCGAGACTTTGGGGACTCGGCGGATGAATGGTTTCATCCGGAAGTACCAAGGCAACCAGCAACTCAGCGAGCTCAGCATCATGCCTCTAAACCTCATTGACGATGCCCCGGATGTTCGCCGGAAACTACTAGAGCGGGGCAGGAAGTTTGAGGGGTACGTCGGGCAGCACTTCCTACAGTACGACGGGATCGCCTTCAAGCTGTCATGTAACGGGTATGCCCGGTTCTCCGCCACCGGTCGCGTCATGATCGACTGTAAAACTCATCACCGGCTCGAAGCCAACGGATCGTTCACTGTTTTGAAATTTGACAACCGTACGGATGAGGATGATAGAGCACTCGGACGAGGAGGCGCTCCTCACGAATGCGAGGGTGCGGGGCTACTCGTTCTCGGTGAAGAAGTTCCTCGAGTTTTCTGTCGAGATGCTCGCGCCCATCCGGTGGAACTCTAACTGCTTTGATAGCCTAGTACTCGATCCGTCAGTCAAGAAGACAATGCAAGCCCTTGTTTCCGTTCACAGTCAGGAGCGCGACTCATTTGATGACATCGTGGAGGGCAAGGGCCAAGGCCTTGTCTGTGTGCTTCATGGCCCTCCCGGTGTTGGAAAGACACTGACGGCCGAGTGCGTTGCCGAGTATGTGAAACGACCGTTATATATGGTGTCTTCCGGAGATCGTAAGTTTGCCGTCTCATATATCCGCAACTAGCCCTTTTTCGTTTGACACGAAATACGAACACCGGAGATAAGTTTACTAACTAGATGATGTTATATTACAGTGGGAACCTCTAGCACCGACCTTGATCGGCAGTTGACAGACATTATGGACATGGCAGCGACGTGGCGCGCTGTGCTACTGATAGACGAGGCAGACGTCTTCCTTGAGCGCCGCTCCCTACACGATCTGCACCGAAACGCCATGGTCAGCGTTTTCCTGCGCGTGTTAGAGTATTACAGCGGTATCTTGTTCCTAACCACGAACCGCGTGACGACCTTTGATGACGCCTTCAAGTCACGGATCCACATCCCCATCCGCTATACAGACCTCAGCATCGAGTCGCGCGCCGAAATCTGGCGAACCTTCTGCCAGAGAGTGCCAGGTGGCGTGGACATCGACGACAGCGGCATCGCCACGCTCGCCGAGCACGACCTAAACGGACGGCAAATCAAAAACATTATCAAGGCTGCCGAGAGCCTATCTGCGTTTGACAATGTCCGGCTCGATCTCGCGCAGATAAAGCAGGTCACCAAGATCCAAGCGACTTTTGAGAAGGATCTAGACAGCGTAATCGGCGTCGACTACACAGCTCCGGGGCGGTCAAGGAAAGACGTTGAGCAGAGGAATATGTTTCTATAAGTTATATATATATAAGGGATGCCTTTGCTGAGGAAGTGGCATAGAGAAGTCTAGTTAGTATAGGCTAGAGGCGTTCTATAGCTTAGAATAATAAGTAACTATATATAGTAGTATATAATAGTTATATGTTTATATGAAGATAATAGATACTTAAATCAACTATACGAAAGAAAACTCTTTTCTCTGTAAGGTTAGTTAGGTTCCTTATATATATAGCTGTTTAATAGTGACTAAATATCCCCTTAGTATGTTTATATATTTATTAATCACAGTTATTATACTATTTATTCTCTACTTTAATATCTCATCATCTTTCTAGGCCAGCTTATATATAATATAAACTAGGCTGTTTATATTAGACTTTTAACACTAATATACACTATAAGGCAGGGCTATACTAGGAGCTAGCTAGGCTATAAAGATGTGAAAATTAAAGCTTATAGGTTTAGATACTTAATTTTATCTACCTAGTCTTATATACTATATATTTTACTAAACATTAATGCCTTATTTAACTAATAGTGGTAAGGGTAAGAGTTATCCTAACAGAAAACGTATTTTAGACTCTATAGTTACTTAACCATAGTTATCATACTCCTATAATCTCAAATTCCCTATTTTATGGTATAAGGATGGTCTCTAATAAGAAAAGGCTATATATTGCCCTATATCCCAGTGGAGTTGTCGACAATGAAGAGCGAAAGTATTCGGACCCTTCTTCTACTATCTTTCTCCGTTCTCCGAGGCTTACTAAACCCTATAGATATCATTGGGGCTTTCTCATCGGCCTAAAGAACGAAGACCATTCTCAAGTTCCTGGCGTGCGCTATCACGTCAAGAACCACCCGGTTCAGGGCTGGATCTACGAGGAAGTTCAGGTCACTGATGTAAGAAGCACTACTAACCTCCTCGCGCGTGTTACAATCGCCAAAGTTGAAGATGAGAACCGGGTCATCGATATTTTTCGCAACACACCCGTTCTCCAGGGCGACCCAAACTGGCGGTGCCGCACTTAGGTGGCCTAAGTCCTGTTAACGCTCAAGGTGGATGGTAAAGCTGTGGGAACGTCGCAACTAGATTGTAGGCAAATAGCGTCGTCCTGCACCTAAGGGACTAGTACCGCACGCCTCCTACATCTAGCCACAGTAAGTCAGGGATCTTTTCTCTACGACATCAGCCCTCAGTTTTACCTAATAATTTCCCACATGTTCTAGTGGATCTACTAGAACATAGACCTATCCACATCTATCTTTTCCTTCCACATATAAGTAAACCTTAGAGGAAAGGAAGTTCTATATCCTTTTAGTAGTTAATTTAAGTATACTTGACCTCTATACTTACAATATATAATATAGATAACGATATTATTATACTATTCGATTGCCTCACCGAGCCACTAATAGGTCTCGACTATTCTAACCCTAACGTAACATCATCTTAAACAATACGTCCTAGTTTTAGAACGTCATATAAGAGATAGGATTCCTTTATATAGATGTTTTCCTTATCACATTTTTCTTCGGGCGACAATATATTCATCCGTCTAGGCGGGCGCACGGTCCTTTGTTTAACACGTCGGGCGGACGTACACTGTTATGGAATATCAGTCTGAAAGGGCCGTTTACATAGTGGTTCCGGGATTTTACTAACGTCAGGTTCCTAATTCGTCCCCGGCAGCCACCGAAATCTTACTCTCGGCAATTGTTGGATAATGTTGAACGAAAACAGGTCAAACCGAATTATTATTACTGATGTCCGGAAGGGAAAACTATCTCGAGGTATCTGTGACATTTAGTATTTCTGGGGCTCTACCGACATTCCGTTGCCCTGTTAGTCTCCTTCAGCCACCGTAGTTCTTACTCTCAGCGATCCCATCTTAGGGTTCTGAAAAAGACTGATAGGGATCCCCTCTATTACACTCGTCCGCTTTTCTCAGTAATACCATATCCGATGTTTAGCCTTTTCTGCCATCTGAGACCGACTTAGGCCTTGATCAGGTCGGAACACTAGAGTCGACCTTGTTAGAATAGAGTAATAATGGGGTGAAAGTGCTGTTCGTATTCGCTGCTTAGATCCTCTATTCTCGATCTGTTTCTGTAGGAGGATTCTACGGCTTTTACCGAGGTATAACTGACGTCTTCTGGGATTTTTCCAGGATTCGTCTGGAACTTGCTGTTGGGAGAAAAATTCCTTACACCTAAGTTTATTCTAGAGGTACGAAAGTAACGTCACACTGGCCTTTCAGCTCCTGTTCAGGATTGGAACCTTAGGTAAGTCTAAAAGACGGACAGGCCGAGATGCAGGGGAGTCTCCGACTTGCATTCTGGCCATCTGTTTCAATTTATGTAAAGAAATGTGCGCTCGGGGCATCAATCCAAATACACTCGTATATGCGTCCAATGTGATCATTCCATCAGCCTCTGGCTCAGGTAACGTTTAGCATCTTCCGGGCTCAATCGAGCCGAGCAGCGTCAGGTAATAGTTACCGTTTGAAATCATTCCCACCACCCATGTAAAATACTAGTGCTGACATGAATTGCTCCTTCGTTGCCCTCGTTCAAATTGCCATTTTGAGCCATGTCCCTACGTCGCCTTGGTGAAGACTTGATTGGCTTGGCGGTATGGCGCAGCTGTGCCTGAGGAAACTTTTGGGTTGGCGTTCTGTTCCTATATAATGAAGACAACATCAACTTTTCTCCTAGATCATTTAGCTCTTTCTTATCATTTTTAAATAGCTCTGCGTTGAAACAATCCCCCAAGCCTCAACCCAGCCAACCGCACGGTCAGTACAGATAGAAAACATGCATGATCTCGAGCTCGGTCGCGTCCCAACAACAGAACCCTTAATCAACGATGTCGTTGACAACTTCGCGTGGCGGGACATCCACGTCCTTGTCAAGGATAGGTCCACCAAAAGCCCACTTTATATCCTATCTGAGACGGCTGGTTTAGTCCATGCCGGGGAGATGCTTGCAATTATGGGACCTAGTGGCTCAGGAAAGACGACACTACTCAACGCCCTTGCGCATAGGATTGCCGCTGCCGGTGCAGAAACGACGGGCCAAATTCTCGTCAATGGCCAAAAGTCCAATTCGAACATGATTAGGAACCTCTCAGCCTATGTAGAGCAGGAAGATGCATTGATCGGCAGCGTGACCGTACGAGAGACGATGGTTTTCTCAGCACGACTAGCTTTGCCTAGGTTTGTTTTTTCAGCCCCAACCTCCGACTATAGCCTAGCTAGCGCTAACATTATCTCTAGCAATGTCTCGAAAAAGAAGCTTTCAGACGAGTTGATAATCTGATTGCGAGCTTTGGGCTGTCTTCGCAGTCGCAAACCATTGTCGGAACGCCCATAAAAAAGGACTAAGTGGTGGCCAGAAGAAGAGACTCGGCGTTGCGAGCCGGCTTGTGACAAACCCAAAGATTCTCTTTCTCGACGAGCCCACAAGTGGACTGGACTCGGCCCTCAGTGTCGAAGTCATTCGATATATAAAGGATATAGGCAAAGCGCATAATGTTAGTTTTCTCGCCCTCGGTCCTATTACCCCTTCGAGTTATGTGTTAGTTAACCATTTTCTCCATCTCAATCCTCAGCTCATTATCATTTCTTCTATACACCAACCATCCACCACAACCTACCAACTATTCGATAAGTTGGCCTTGCTGTCGCTCGGGAAAACATGTTATTTTGGCCGTATCAGTGACGCGCCAGATTATTTCAGCCGTATCGGGTACCAAATACCTGCAGCAACTAACCCAGCCGAATTCTTCCTCGATCTAATCAACATTGACCTGGACAAGAACGGCGAAATCAAGTCCAGGACCCAACACATAATTAACTCGTGGAAAGAATCTCCTGAGTGTAATGGTTTGGAGGGCGACATTACGCGTATTGCGAACACTCCATCCAAAGTTGACTTGACCAAACTAAAGTTGCCTAAACCCAGCATATGGATGGTGCCCTTGACTCTCCTCCATAGGTCGTGGGTCAAATCATATCGTGATATCGTGGCATATCACATTCGAATAATAATGTACCTTGGCCTAGCGGTCCTAATGGGAACCGTCTTCCTTCGGTTGAAGTTGTCGCAGGAGTACATCCAACCGTTCGTCAATGCCATTTTCTTCAGCGGGGCCTTTATCTCTTTCATGGCCGTTGCTTACGTGCCAGCATACCTCGAAGATCTTCACACATTCCAGAGCGAGCGTGCGAACGGATTAGTGGGGCCCCTGTCGTTTATGGTGTCGAACTTCCTAATCGGCCTACCCTTCCTTTTCACTATCACTCTGATCTTCTCAGTCGTCGTATACTGGCTCTCTAACTTTCGTGCCGATGGGCCAGCCTTTATGATGTGGGTGCTTTGGCTCTTCCTCGATCTCTTAGCGGCCGAGTCCCTTGTTGTACTTGTATCCAACATTTTCCCCATCTTCGTCGTCGCGCTAGCGGTAGCCGCCTTCGCCAACGGTCTCTGGATGGCGGTTGACGGATTCTTAGTGCCGATGACCATTCTCAACTCATTTTGGAAGTATGTCTTCCACTACATCGACTATCAGGCATACGTCTTTCAGGGCATGATGGTCAACGAGTTCAAGGATCGGATTTATACGTGCGCGCAGATACCCGACGGTGGTTATCAGTGCATGTACCCTAGCAGCTTGAACTCGCAAGGCGAAATTCGGGGAGTAGACGTTTTGAAATCTTTCAATATTCGTACGGGCCTTGAAGGGCAGTGGGTGGGTATCATGATTGGTATAATCGCTGGATATCGGATTCTTGCATACTTGTCTCTACGATTCCTCAGGTAATAGGTGGCCATAGAACGTTCTAACACTAAGAAGATATTATATCATGATGACTAGATAGCATGCTATCTCACTGAGGATACGCTTGGCTAATATATCTTATATGATGTTAATATCTCGTGATACCATAAACGCACCATATTGCCTCCCTCCCTGTTTCAATGATTCGCGTTCATCTAGGTTCTAGTCTAATCATGATATTTGACGGGGACAAGGGAAATTTAGATATATATGGCTGTATTTCCCTATCAGCCCTGAAGCAGCGTGTTCAACAATGTGAGTCATCTATGTCGGAAGCATGCATCAGTGGAGGGAATCGATAGAAATTTCCTCATAGCTAGCTTACACTCATCTAGCCGACACGCACTCATCAACTCCTCCGCTCGCAAAAGGGGCGAGAAAGGTTATGTGCTCTGGGCTTAGAATATAACATTGGTCGGTAGCGCTTCCTGTGAAAGAGATCTTTTGAATCTCCATGTGGCTAGATAGCAGAGCACTAGTTTCTCCGCCCCCAAGGACAAAGTTCAGTACACCTGGATGAATACCTGCCCTGTTGGAAAGCTTTCCAAAGAAGAGAGTAAACAGCGGTGTCTTTTCAGAGGCCATCATAACCATCGTATTTCTCAAATAAGGCCATGGTGCTGGAGGTTAAGCGTCATGTTTTTCAACCTTTGCCGATATTACTATTGTCGGCTAAGATTTATCCACGAATTCGTGGCACCTCAGGGACTGTTTTTATACGAGATCATTTACCCTAGCATGTTAATTCCGAGAGACGAGTGAGTTCTGCCGCCCTTCTTGGGATTCAGCGCTGACGCTGACTGTTGCTCGGCTATCAGTAGGCAGTTGATGGAGAAGCCCCAGACTAATACGGCCTTCCTGAACCGGGACACGCTTTTCAATCATTGTGGGAGTGACCTGTGAAAACTTAATCCCCGATCTCTTCGTAGCATCATTTAGGGCCCTGCCAAGGTCGAAACTACGGACTCTGATCGAGTCGTCCAGTGAGGAGTAGGCGGTGGCGATGCTACCGACCCAAACCAAAAATGGCTATGATTCAGCGAGAGCAGTTCCTGGGCTAATGCTAGCTCGTTGGATACCTGCCGCGACCTCACAAAACGTCAAATTCAAAAGTCAGAGGGGTTAGTCGTAAGTTCATTTGCCTTGATTAAGGCTAGCACCAGTCGTTCATGTATGTCGCCGACCGCGGTGGACGAGAAGGGCGAGGTCATGCAGTGTTGGATAAGAACTAGGAGGTGTTATATCTCTAATGTGGCCTGCATCCTGATCTGCTGCTTATTTCATAACTCCTAGTCTAGCGAAATGGGTAGGAAGATTAGTGTGGTGCCCCTAGTGAAATACTCTATGTTTTCAAGTTCTATGGTGAGCGAAAGATCGACGGCACAATCTAGAAATTCCTAACCCTCGTTCATCAACATCATAATGTAAGAATGCTAATATATTCTCGATTATGATATAAAATTCTAAGCCCTCTTAAAATAGATAATCTAGTCTTTAGTAGTTTTAAAGCTATATTCCTTTCTTACTTCCCTAAGCTCGTTATTCTAAATTCCTCTTAGGCTTATATGATGGCTTAAAAGAATTCCACTAGCATACAGCCCTTGTCAACTTCTCCAAAGGCCATCAAAGCCATCATTTCATTGCTATCCTCTAGGGCACATTTTTTTCATTGATCTTAGGTTCAATCCCCTTCCTCAAGCTGAAATTTAAGTATCACTAGGTCTAATTTTTACTAGGAACTTTAGCACTGATAAGCCGAGGAGAATCGTTAGGTTGGTTAGGTAAATCAGGAGTGCGGAAATAGAGCATTTAGTCTAAGGTATGTCGTGATATACCTTATATATTTGTTCGACATCTCGGTTCCGTATACAGGGATGGTATCATGTGGAAGTCCAACTGCTATGACTTAGCCCTCAGCCTTAACAATGCCTAGGGCTGACTGATAGGCTGAGACGACGCCGACAACAATCAGCTCAGTTTCCACAAGCCGGCCCCATTGACTTCAGATACTTTGGTAATTAAATCTTCCCTCGCAAGATCCTTGATATTGACGGTCTCATATGCGATACCATCCGCCTTGGCAGCATTGAGCTGCTCTTCCTGGACGTCAAGAACAATTACCTTCGCTCCTAATTCGTGGCAATATCTAGCAGCCAGTTGACCGAGACCACCAGCCCTAATGACTGCGACTGTATCGCCTAGACGAAGATTGGCCCTTTTGATGGAATCCCAGACCGTTATTCCTGCGCAGAACAGGGGCGAGAGATCAGATAGAGACTATTGACTCATATCTATTGCCCGACGAACGACCACGGCCGATTCAGGATCCACCAAGGTGTATTCCGAAAAGGAGCCCGGGGCGGACAATCTTTTGACATCCATTTTTAGGCAGAACTCGGGCCCGGAGCTCGTACAGTCAACGCACTCAAGGCACATATTATGCCACAGGGGTGCTCCCACTATATCACCAATATTGATACCGTACCGAGCGGCATCAGGCCTAAGCATCTCTACGACTGAGAATGCTTCGTGACCAACGATGACTGGCATCATAAACCTATAATCTCCCTTGATAATGCTAAGGTCTAAATGACAAAGGGATGCTACTTTAACTTAGACCTAGATCAGCCTACTAGTAGGTTCCAGAACAGGGACATTCTCAATCACCAGGGGCTTTCCAGCCTATTAAGGCAAGAATAGGAATATTAGCCAAGGTCCAGATGGGAGGGCGGTATATAACACACCTCCTTACAGATTACCACCTTCATTATCTATAGAGCCATTATCCAGAGAGACCTTTACATATATAATCAAATAACGAAAGTAGAGGAGTAGCACTCTCTAAGAACACCTTATATCTGATAAAAATAATCATTTATCCAGAAATTATATATAGAAGGGAAAAGCCTACTTAGCTAAGTTATATAAGAAAAGGGACAGTTAGTTCAGTTCCTATAAAGCCCACAACTTAGCGGTTAGGGGCCACCTTACCCTATTTCGAGATTAGTCTAATAATAGTCTAATCGAATGAAATTCTATAATTATATGCTAAGAGCGCTAACCATGTCCACTGAGTCGTCACAGTTAGTAGTCCCCCATATCAAATTAGTTCAAATTCATTAATTTCACCTATCCGGTTACGTTAGTTTCTCCCTAGACTTGATATCCCGTTGCCCTAGAACCTACTCAGCGGGAGAGGCGGCGCGCCTGACTTACACTTCAACCCGACTTTAGGTCTCTGCTCAAGCGGACAGATGAATAGCATGAGGAATAGGGCGCTTTAGAACGTTCCAGGAAGACCCTGGTATCTACTAGTAGTGATTAGACTAGGTAAAACTGGTCGAGTTTATTATACCAAACATCTACTTAAGCTAGAAACTGAAAGGTGTCACCAGCAAAGAGAGGCTATATAACGTCGCCCACCGAATTGCCCAACCTAATTCTTCTTAGCGCGGGTTGAGAAGAACGAACAGGAATAAATCATTGCGTCGAAGATGAGCTCAATTCAAGACCTATTTAGATATCGGAATCTGCAGTGGATACTATCATGGCATAATCATTACCATATAGTCCTTTAATAGGTAGAGACTTCAGGTGGAACTCACAAGAACAGATAATGCCTACACAGACCATGAAGGATTTAGGAAATCGATTGCCATCCAGCCATAATAGAAATGAAAAAAACAGCTAGGTCAGATGTAGAGTGCAGGCGCCCGGAAGAGTATAAGGATTCCCTAACATGGAAAGACGTGTTTACCAGCCACATCTACTTCTGCATACTGGTCAGTGTCCCTCATACGCATTCACTCCTATCTCAACTGAAAATGCGCTACACTAACGCCAGGCTTTTATAGTTCCTCTGTTCAAGCTATGCTAGCGCGATTGGCTACTTTATCTTTTTTCGATTCTCCTGAAAAACGATCAAGACACTTTGGGTATGTACCGCCGCTTTCAGGGTGGGAAACAAGCATAAGTATTGACAAAGATGTAGGAATATCGAGCAAGGCAATGTGGATTCCTATCGCTCACCTAACTACCGCCACTGTTCTCTTCACGCTCTGGGGACGCTGGTCAGATATTGTTAGAAGGCGGTTCTTTTTCCTCGCAGGTTCGGAAGATTGCTTACGTGATATACCAAACTTGTTTTAGACCGATTGATCAACTAACCATGACGTTTCAGCAAATACCGTCGGATTCATCGGCTCTATTATCTATGCTACTACGAGATAACTAGCTTCTTCTAGATGCGCTGACCCGCCCAGCTCTCATCAAGGATCCTTTCCTGGTCTATTCCTGAATGAGGGATGTGAGCTTTACTGGGTTAGGACTAGTTCCGCGTGGATTGTGTCAGTCATCCCTCCTGTGGAATACTTCTCGCCTTTACTATTATGCCCACCTTCAGTATCATGGAGTAGTATCAGAGAGGCCGCATCTTGGACTTGAGAATGTGATTCCAGGGAGTGCAAAATTTAGACATAAGTGTGCTGTGTATATTACTAGTATGGCTCTTAGACTACCGAGGTATTGAATGAGCTGTCCTGCTGAATCTCAGGCATTCTTCCTTTTCATTGACAGTTAGCAGCATCGGATAAGGCTTTAGGAGATCTAAGGACGATGGCCCTACCAAAACGACGTCCCTTTATTCGCTTCCCATCGCAGCTCGCCATGGGACCCCCTGTGCCCTGTGACGTCCCAACACCAGGACTGGTATATTAGACGTTGCGGTGTTAAAGGGCTGGAACAGTTGGGGCCTATCCCATTATGCAGTTAATTTTTGACCCGCATCTTGCTAAACAAAATCGAGGTACTAAGGTGGATTTTTTAATTGAACATCTGCGGTTTTCGCCTCTAACAGAAGGTTTTGATTGGAATAAACTAGAGCTGCGCGACCGGCGCGTAACCTTGTTATGATATGTCGAATACAATGGATCAAAACGATTGACTATGATTACTGATATCTAAAAGGGAAAAATTATACAGAGGTATCTATGACATTCGGGGTCCTTTAATATCTAGAAAAGGGGCTGTCGGAAGAAATGATCTTGCGGGGGTGGCTCAACAACATCCGCTGTTGTTAGAATATGCGGCCGTCGGACCCTACATGTATGATTGAAACCGGTAGATAGAGTCTCTTAGAAAACGAAGGAGGTGAGATATGTAGTATTCAGAACTTGGACGAGGGGCAATTATTTTCGTGCCCTTGTAATGAGATCGTTATCTTTGTGAGAGAGATGAGCCAATGGTTGAGACTCCTACTAATGCGGGACCGCCTCTTCGTCAATTAGTCGGAAGTGCATCAAGATAAGGAAATTCTTCACCTATTAGTTAGTCCCTCCTCTCTTGGCACAACCGTGAGAAACGGCTGATTAGGCAGCTAAACATTGCGCCAAAGAATTGTCCAGGACCCTTCAGCATCTATCGTGCTGAAGAGGTCACTGATATAGCGCCCATCTTGCCATAAACCTACCCACAAATGGTCCGCTCATCCACCAAAGTGACCCACCGAAGACAGTGAAGGTTCTACTAGGCTAGAAAATACTGCTTAGGCAAGTCTTGCCAAACTGGAAACCTGGGAGCACAAGACCCGGGTCTTGATTAATTGATTCACTAAAGCTTACTGCTATAGGTTTGATTTGGAATCTAGCGTGTCAGGTTGAGGAGAGTAGAAACTACGTTACTCAAGTCTTTTCTGCAGGAGGAGGGAGGCACCCACAAGAGTCGCGAAGAGAGAGGGTGGCAAAAGGAAGAGGAGGACAAAAATGTCGTTATATCCAGCTTGTTTCGGCACAGGTAGATTTGTCGGGACTCACAATAGTTTCGGGATAAGCTACTCACCCCACTTCTTCAGGAGACTAAGAAGATATGAGAAAAGAAGATTAGAAGCTAACGGAGCGCAGAAGCCGTCGATCGCTTAACGAGAAACGAGGCTATCTAACGGTACTCGGCTGATGGGGTATTGCCTTAACTCAGAACCGTCTGCGAGCCTACTGCCCTATTACTCGGGGGCGACGTCAAGATATCAATCGACCATATCGTCGGCATATAAACCAAGAGTGTATGTATGCTTAACTAACAGTATATGGTTAGTGGATTATCAGGATCTACAAAGAGTTGGATTTTCGATTAGTGAATGACTAAGGCCTTTTAATGTGATGGTGTCTGAGCTACGCGCCTATAGAACTCCGATAGCTATTTATGTCCCTTCCCCTCTCTGGTTCCTGCCCAGGGACAGGCACCTTAGGAATCCCCTGCCTTCGTCTGTCCAACTGCAACTTGAGCATACCTTGATTATATTGTGAAATGGCTCCCGTAGTCAAGATTCTCATCATCAACCCAAACAGCAACGAGCTCTTCACTGGGGTCCTACGAAACCTAGTAAAGCCGCTCCAGTACGGGGAGTGAGTCTACGCCGACCCCACCCGAGCGCAGCTCATGATATGGCGCTAATTACCATGACAGGTGGATTACACATTTTCACATGCCCCGAGCCGCAAACTCCCCTAACGTCTCTCGAGGGTATCGCCGAATCAGCGAGACTATGTTTCCCTCACATACTCCCGTACTTTGACACCCACGACGCCTTTCTCGTGGCATGCTTCTCCCGACACCCTCTTGTCGGAAAGCTACAAGCCGAGATCAACCAACGCAAAGCCAAGTCTAGAGCGCAGGCAGTTACAGGCATCTTTGAGGCGAGCGTCACCACGGCGATGACCATTGCCGGCGCGGTGCCTCATAAGAAATGGGGTGTAATCTCCACAGAATATTCGTGGCGGCCGTGGACGGACGAGGCCGTAGGCGACTTCTTGGGCGTGGCGGAGCCCAGAAAGACTATGGGTCGTTATCTCGGCTGCGAGACGATTGGGGTACAAGCCGAGGAGTTGGAGGGCAAAGATCACTTATTTTTGGAAATAGCGGTCGAAACCGCGCTGAAGACGCTCCTGCAAGGCGAGGACGTTAGTGTGTCCGGAGCGCCTGCTATTATCCTTGGCTGTGCGGGCCTCGGGTTGCTAGAGGGTGCGATCAAGAAGTGTAGCAAGGAGGTTCTCGGTGAGGAATGTGGGACTGAGCTAGTTATAGTAGATGGCGTAAAGGTTGGGATCGGTAGTTTGATCACTCTTATTCGAGGATTGGCTTAGCTTTCCTAAATCTAGGAGGTGTGTCAGAGAAGAGAAGCTGAATCTACAGAATATTACATTCGCGCTGGTTCGATGTAATTCCTCGACCAAGTTATGTAGCCTAGCACCTATGGATTTCCCAGAATGTTCCCATTCTTCCGTAGTAGTCACCTAATAGGTGCTTCTTAAGTTCACAATATAGCAAGCATCGCGATTAACATCCCTTGTGCGAAGGATCATCTATCCCTTCCATGTTACGATCTTTTCGTCTAGGTCAAAACTTTCAACCATAATAAAGCAACCTGCGCGTTGTTACTCCAGTTCATCTAAAACAGAAGACTATGGCTAGTCTTGTCTTCAATAGTGTGCTCTGGAATGCTGAGCTCTCGCTCTAAGGGATCAGGGAGCCAGCGAGGAGCCAAAAGGCAAGCTCGTTTCCACTTTAATTCCGGCATTAGGGTTAGGGTTAGGGTTAGGGTTAGGGTTAGGGTTAGGGTTAGGGTTAGGGTTAGGGTTAGGGTTAGGGTTAGGGTTAGGGTTAGGGTTAGGGTTAGGGTTAGGGTTAGGGTTAGGGTTAGGGTTAGGGTTAGGGTTAGGGTTAGGGTTAGGGTTAGGGTTAGGGTTAGGGTTAGGGTTAGGGTTAGGGTTAGGGTTAGGGTTAGGGTTAGGGTTAGGTTAGGGTTAGGGTTAGGGTTAGGTTGGGGTTAGTGAAGTTAGTAACTGAACGAAGTAATGTAACTGAACGAAAGCACACTGAGCGTTACGTATTGCTAAAAAGCTCACACGTACGCCATTGACGTATCCCCAGTGGCCCGGTCTTGCCTGATATAGGTGGCCCAACTCTTCCGTGGAAGCTCAGTGGATGGTCAGATCAACCGGATACCTGTTGATACCTTTGCAGCTTTGTCCTCAGAATGGGCGTGCTCAATGGGACGGTGATCCCCCGGTCCGCCCTCCGATCCCTGAAACTTGTGGCTATAATGTATATACTTTTTTTTTGCTCCTACTGATATCATCTCTCATGGGTGGCTTGAACTACCCACCCCATTCCCATTGCCCTTCCCAGGCCCATTCGACCGCCGCATTAAAAGAGGGCCGGATTCCCAGGCTGCTCGAAGCTTCTTCTTCCGGGGCCCATACTCTCCTTGATTGCGTTACCCTCTTGATAGTACGTGAATTTTGTCCATCAGCTCCAAGAACAACGCGTAGCCAGCATCGAAGCCAAAGATCTCTTATTCAGCAAGAGCTCTGGTTGAAGATACGGAACTCTGCTCTCTTGCTTCCCCGAATCCGTACGCGCTCGACCCTCGCCCGGAAGGTGTTTTGCCTCCAGAACGGGCCATCGCACTGATCGCCGAGTAGCGTATCCCAGATACGCAGACCAGCGTTAAAAGAAATCTACCTATCGCGTGGGTAAATATCTTCTCTCCTCCTATTGTAGGCCCCCGTCCCATTTATCTTCCGTCCCTCGCCGTTGAGATCCTCTGGTGACCGGTGAGGAAGTTAGAGGTGAGTCATGTCCAGCTCCGCATCACCTGACAGCAATACGTAACTGAACGAAGCACAAT